CCGCCAGGTCAGTCGACACCACATCTCGCCACCTCTTCTTCGGGCCGTGACGAGGACGGGGGGCAGGCAGCTCGCCGAACAGCAATTGCTTCGGTGCGCGTGAGTCGTCCATCCTGCCGACGTGACCCAGCCAACGAAGCCGGTGGCGACGGATGATGCGGGTGATATCAGGGTCAACACCGAATGTAGCTGCTAATGTGGCCGTTGAGATCCGATCATCCCACTGTTGACGACGACCGATACCCACAATGGACCGAACACACTGATGGTGAAACGTGTTTAGCTTCTGGAGGTGGCCTGCCTTGGTGGTCCACGTCTCCGCACCATACAAGAGGGTCGTGAGGACGACAGCCTCATAGACACGCCTCTTGCTGCGAAGCGACAGGGTCTGGTTATCAAAGACAGGAGCTTTGAGGGCTCCGAACACAGCTGAGGCTTTCGCAAGGCGAGAGCGGACATCAGCACAGGCAAGACCATCCGAGGAGAGCACACTGCCAAGGTAGGTGAATTGGTCCACCACCTCAATAGTGTCTGCTCCAACAACAACGTCACGGCGATCAGCAGACTCACCCACAGCCATACCCTTGGTCTTTCTCACACTGACCGTCAGGCCCCAGCTGCTTGCGCATGTGATGAAGCTGGAAGTCATCGCTTCGAAGGCAGGCCGAGATGTTGCGTAGAGTGCAGCGTCGTCAGCAAACTGGGATTCTGTGGGACATCCTCTGCTGTACTGCACATTATATCCTTCACTGCTTGCCATTGGTCAGCTGCAGTGTCCGCATCAGCAGTATCAGGGAGCTTGTCTGAAATTTGTTCAGCATAGCTCTTGCGAACGGCCGGGTCACCCAGCTTTCCGACAGCAACAGGTGCGGGTTTCGGCACAGGGCGAGGCCTGCGGCACAATGGACGATCAAGTAGAATCCTGCTGCGAACCATGTGGTGGTCTGTCCAACAGTTGGCACCGCGCATTACGCTGACATCAAGACAAAAGCGACGGTGTGGCTGCCTCATGATGATAAAATCTATGAGATGGGTTTGCTTCGTAGCTGGGTGCATCCAGGTCCCACGCCTCGACACAGGTTTCTGGAAATGGGTGTTCATTACAGACAGCCCGTTGGTAGCACACCACATCAGAAGCCGCTCACCAGCATCATTCCGCGCACCGTGACCGTATCTCCCCAACACAGCCCTCCATTCGTCTCCCGCGTCATTGCTGCTGCCAACTCTAGCATTGAAGTCACCAAGCAGCAACAGAACATCACTGGCTGGCACACCATCGACCACCCTCTGCAAATCTGTAAAGAAATGATCTTTGACGGGTGCAGTAGCTTTACTGGTTGGTGCGTACGCACTCACAACTGTCACATACAAATCATTCCTTCTCTGCCATTCGCCATGCACTCGAAGTTCCCCCGCCTCCGCGAGCTTGAGACGGTCCACAACCAATCTCGAACTTACAGCGGTCCACTGCTCACCAGCACGTCTCCAAGCCTCCGTCATCCCTGGGTTCAGCATAATTCCAACACCTTCGTTCCTACGCGCAGGACCATCGCCATTTGGTAGACGACGACCTGAGTGTAAGAACGTATAGCCATCAGCTCTCCAGACATCGGACTCGAACCACTTTGTCTCTTGGATCGCAGCGATAGCAATCCCATATCTCCGAAGCTCCGCGACCAAGAAATCCAATTTACGATCGATCGACAAATTATTATTTTGCCGCTTTCTGCAGATCCGCTCGTCTCCAGAGTCCTCGACAAGGGAACGAACATTCCACGTCGCGAAAGCGAGAGCAGCTCCACGTCCACCACCACCACTTCCTTCCTTTCTCCTCTCTGTCTGGTTGGACTTCGTCGTCGTCCTCCTCACCATTCCAAATTCAAATTTTCGAAATTCTCAAAATGAACTTTCCGACTACTTGTGCAGTGAGTGCGGTGCAACAACAACTCCGCAGTAGCTTGCAAGGCCACTGGCGGAGGTCACCACAGCCCTGCCCTGGTCTACACCACACGGACAGGGCTGTGTTACGTGACACAAACAACTTGAGGTCAGAGCACTCGAAAATGCAACCAACCTCTACTGTACCAAGCACACACACACACACACACACACACTCTCTCTCTCCTTTGTCTCTTCGTTGACGAGTGTGTCTAACCTGAGCACTGCGAGGTAAGTAACGAAATAGCAGAGTGATTTCTAGCGACAATGTTACCAAGTTTCACAACTGCGTCAATGCTCACCATTGGAACTGCACTGGTCGCAGTTGAAGGGCACTGCAATATACCCCGGTGGTCAAAAGATCCCCCCCCCCCCTCCCAGATTGTTGAGTGGTTTGGTTGAGGACATACACTGTGAAGTAGAATACATGGTGACTTGGTTACGATATGAGGGTAGTCTGCTGCACACACTTTGAGCTATTCATCCATGATTGTACGCCTCTCCCGGTCATGTTCCTAACACGGGTAGAGAGCTAATCGTTACACCCGTGCGTTTGCTCTGCTGTTTTTGTGCCTGTGTCAGGTGGTGACGGTTGAGCTATCTGTCAATGGAGGTGAGTTGGACCACGAGAACAGAGATGAAGAGAAGCTGCATCACGTCCAGCATTGTACAATGCATGATCCTCCACTCTTTTTCCGTTTATCTGCACACAAAGGAACCTTTAATGGACGTGTCACGCGATTTCCTTCCCATGGTGCCTATGGCTTGTAGTACAGTAGAATCCCAAAGGGTCCCCTGACTAAAATTTCCCAGATCTTAAGTTCACTGCTGACTTAAGCATCCCTACTCCTTGGCGAAGTTGAGCCATTCGTCAAGTTAATTCTCAGATAGTAAGTTCACTGCTGATGACAGCTTTCTTTTGTATGTCATTCTGTGCCCCTGACCTGCAGGCGTATTCGTGGTGCCAGTCGGTAAGTTATGTTCTGTGGTGCTCATTCTGGTTGCATTATTTATTGTCGCTGTACGTGTCCTTGGACACTATTAGTCATTAGATGCTCTGGTGATCGTGATGGGGAATAGTTACCGAGCCTGGTCTGTTACGTGTATTTGGACACCATTAGGCATGAGATGCTCTGGTGGTTATGGTGGGGACTAGCGTTAGCTGGCGAGCCTGTCTGGCTGCCAGTACCAGCGACAGTGCATCGGCATAAAGGAGGTGGTGGCCGGCAGGCTTCTGACTTCCGTTCAAGATGCAACCAGCGGGGCTCAGATGCAGAGAGAGACCTCGCTTGGCCCTCGGGCCGTAGGATATGTGAAGAAACTTGACAGCTGAAAGCAGCTTTTACCTTGCAATGCTAACAACTTCATCCAACTGTTTCCCAACTATGTGTGTTGGGGCTGCGCACCTAGACCCCATTAAAGCATGCCTCAGGGCTTGGGATCTTGTTTTTCAGCCACAATTTTTCCTTTGTGATAGGGCTGAAACAATTATACCGATAACTCGCATAACGATCGTTAAGAGTGTAATCGATAATCGTTAGTGTTCAACGAGTGCTAACGATTTTTATGCATGCATATCAGTGACAGTATTCTAGCCCTTGCACTCCATCAGATAGTGAATACTAGTACAATAATGTTCTTTCAAGCGAAGTAAAATTGATTTGCAGCTTTGAAAGAGATTGGGAGAGAAGACTTTGTTTTGTCTTTTCGGTTCATTTGTGGGAGAGGTCGGAGAAGAGCAGCTGCCAGAGGGTGATGACAAGATTCTTATGTCCTTTTCCTTTCTACATATATTTATGGCTCAACATCCGAGTTTCAAATTCTCTAGTTCATGTTAATAAAACCAGCCAGATATCTACAGATGTCAACAGTGCGGTGCCACAAATTTCTAACGTAGCAAAGGTATCATGGAATTTCTTCATAAACTGGTGTTCGAGGTGCACGGGTAGAGCTGACAAGAATCGATAAAACCAATATATCGATCGTTGATGATAACGGTCGATCGTTAGGAGTTATTGAATGATCGTTTCAGCCCTACTTTGTGAAATGAATGAAATCCCGAGACGGAGGCTTCTTTTAAAATCACTCGTTCGTTGGCAATTGCGACCTAGCTTGCGCCTCGTTCCAGTGATTCTGAGCACCGCAGGGCGACGAAATGGGGAGTGCACATTGCCCCACCAAGACCGGCCGACTCGGCCGAGTTTTAACCAGGCACGACATTCATGTTTCTCTCTGCGTGTGTCTTGTGGCTGCAGGCTTTTACGGCAGCGGAACGTACTTCCTTGTGCGGGGTTTGATGTACTTTTGCGCTGTTCACGGGGCGCCAGTGGAGTGAAAAAGCAAGAAAAAAAGAGATCACAGAATTGAAGCTGCTATTTTGTTGCCCGATGGCAAGATTATTTGGTATCAGACGCCACACAGGCGTCTTGTTTTGTTTTGTAGTTTTTGTACAGCGCACGTAGGCTGCTTTCCTAGGACTATTATCGTACCTGTGTTGCACGAGCATTGACAATATAGACACATTATTCTTGCTAGCACTGTGCATGATTTATCACTGGGCACTTTTTTTTTATTGGGCACCTGCACCGAATTAACCCATTTTGAACTCTCTTTTTTTATCGGAATCTGAAATAATTTGAGCCGGGGCAGTGCTCTCTTTCTTACTTTATACCAAATATTAGGAGATTCGTTCACTATGACTCGTTGGACAGTGTAGCCTTTGCTGAATTGCAGCTGAGCTGCCAGCGCACGACGGCTTTCACATTTTGACGTGTATTTCCTAGCACTATTCCGTACCTGAAACCCTGTTATTTTCTAGGAAACCCTGTTGGCTTTAGGGTTTTCACAACTTTTCAGTCACATTTTTGTCGAGATGACTGCTTGGTATTGTTCGCTTATGACTGAGAGTATAAGCAGAGTCCCCCACCCGTTGAAGAGCGCTCAAAACGTGACGTGGAGCCTGTACACACAGTAGCCAGCAGAGAGAAAAATTATAAAATGGCAATGAGTAAAACAAATTGTGCAGTCGTAACAATGTAAAAGATAAAATTTAATGCATTAATTTCCAAAACATTTTCGCATGACACTCATCAGTGGATCATGGAAAGTCGTCACTGTATTTAAAATTAGGAATAACAAAAACAGAAAGGAAAAGGACATGGAAACGAGTTAAGAGTAACTCTCCACCACTGTAACTAGATACTATATACAGTCAGAAAGTGCAACAACTTGGCACAAAACTGACAGAGTACTGAGACATTCGACGTCCTGACACCTAGCTTCAACACATCTCCGTAGCGCTAACCGACAGCCTTCCAACTTGGAAGGTTCAAGGTTATGGAAAGACCAAAGAGGGGAAGGCAAGCGCAACGAAAACGAGCACAAGCTACAGTCCCAACGGAACAAAGAATGTCGATTGTCACTGGTAGCTTGTGCTCGTTTTCGTTGCGCTTGCCTTCCCCTCTTTGGTCTTTCCATAACCTTGAACCTTCCAAGTTGGAAGGCTGTCGGTTAGCGCTACGGAGATGTGTTGAAGCTAGGTGTCAGGACGTCGAATGTCTCAGTACTCTGTCAGTTTTGTGCCAAGTTGTTGCACTTTCTGACTGTATATAGTATCTAGTTACAGTGGTGGAGAGTTACTCTTAACTCGTTTCCATATGTCCTTTTCCTTTCTACTTTTATTATTGGCTCAATACCCGAGTTTCAAATAACAAAAACAATCAATATTATCGCGAAAACATTTTGGAAATTAGTACATTTATCTTTTACACTGTTATGACTGCGCAATTTTGTTTTATTCATTGCCATTTTACGCTCACTGTCTCCGCGACGATTGTTTAGAAAAATTATAGTTACAGCTCACAATTTAGCAATGGAACTAGGCTGAAGTATGTTGAACTTTGTTTTCTGAGGATTGGAGGATCACGACGAAACTCTGACGGTAACAACATACTTCGGCCTAGTTCCGTTGCTGGCTTGTGTTTCGGCTCTGCCCTCGTGGTATTGAGCACTTGTAGCACGGGTTACGTAACATAGCTCGTACTGTGGTTACAACTCAGAGTCGCTCTGGATTCCGACATGTCATGTGATCGTTGCCTAGGGATTGAGCCAATCAGAGTACATGTACTTACAAGCAGGCGCTAGGCGGTGTAAACCTGCGACAAAAGTAGTGGTAGTCGAACAATCAACAAAAGGACAACTCTTTGCATGGAGATAGAAAGAATCAGTTGCACACTCACTACTGTCACACAACAGAGATAGCTTTGGGTTCCAAGCACAGTAAAACCTGGTGTAAGCGACCTCTCGATTTAGTGACCACCTGCTCTATAACGACCGTTTTCCATGTACCAACAGTTCTGCACAGACACTGTGGGACCTGATTCTAAAGACCACCTGGCTTTAACGACCGCTTTTCCTTACACCGTGGGGTGGTCTCTTTCAAACCAGGTGTTACTGTATATGTATGTATGGGATATAGGGGTGAAACGGTTCCATGTTTTTCATGTTCGGGCACCCGAATGCCAGCATTGTTTCCCACGGTTCGGGTATCGGTTCCATGCACTCTTTTCTCCAGACCGACTAAATGTTTTCGCGACAATTATTTTTGAGAAAAAAACATTTTTACGAACAAGACTGAGACATCGGAGAGTCCAAGTACAAAGTGCGAAGAAGATAATGACCGGAGAACTCTTTGGAAGAGTGGGGATCGTAAGGTAAGACATTTAAAATCTTGAGTAGACTTGACATGTACATGTATTTGTACAAGAACGAGATTTTTGGAGTTTCGGTTCGAAATTTGACGAAACGGGTACCCGATTCTTTTCAGCTGGCGGTTCCAAAACCGGTTCCTTACCCGAACCGTTTCACCCCTAATGGGATAGCGCGCCAGGCATGGCGCGTCACGTGATGACCGCCCCACGCCACACATACGAAATAAAGCCGTGTGGACCCTGGCATATGACCTGTTTACGCCCGCAAAATAGCATGCGTGTAATTATTATAATTATTTGAGGATTCTTTCTGCGTCATTCTGTGGGGACAGTATCGTGTTTTCCGCTCTGATAGAAGCCAGAGCCCTGTTCATAGGGCTTGAAAGTGATGACGTCAAAAACAGCCAGGGAGTAGTAAGTTCACATCAGATTTCTATTTGGATCCACAAAGGTGTGACTTTGCTATTAGGGAGGTTTCGCTCTACGGAATTACGTATGAAAATAACGTATGAACTGCACGGAATTTTCATACGTAAAAATCAGAGCTGTTGGGTTTCGCTCTACGTGATTTCTCCACGACTGCTCAACATGTGTTGTTGCTTTGGAGACGCGTTGGCTGCATGCGCCCACCGCATGCACCATGAACCGAAACCGCGTTTTCCATGATATTTTGCACGTGGTGTACGGTGTGTGTACCTTGTGTTTCGCGCGGCTTGAATGTTGCCATGAACAAATGCGGAAAATGCGAAAAAATATTTCAAAAAGTCCTACGGAGGACCCAAGGTAGGAAAGAGCTTTCCTACGGAAATCCGTAGAGAGATTTACGTATGAAAGTTGCCCTCGCTCCCCGGCGCGTACGACATACGGATTTTCATAAGTAATTACGTAGAGCAAAACCTCCCTATTGCCTCAGTGTGTGGGTGCATAGCAACTCACGTATGCAGGTGTGACTTTTTCTTCGCCACCCTGAGTTGTCACCCCACCCCCATTAGCCAACCCAGTCAGTTTCACTGGCTTTATCACCTTGCTGTGGGTAAGACCGCTTGAAATGTGCTTGGATCCATACAAAAACTGGATCCAGGTCATTAGTGAATTTTTGCTGTGACGTAGCACTTTCAAACCCTATTATGATTTCAAGGACAGCTCTACCTATACCTAGCTGCTAGTACCTGCTCTGCCATGAGAGATTTTGTTGGCGATCTGGGATTTTATTAGAGAAAATACGGTAGTTTGTGTCTGTGCTAGATGATTATCTTTGTATTGGAGGCAGTAGCTCCAAGCATTTTCAACTACATTCAATCAGTGCATTGGCGCTAAACCTTACAAGTACTTGAAGTAGGCATCAACTTCCGGATCCGGCCGTCTCGCATGCTTCAGTACGACAGTAGCCTGGCCTGCGGAAACTGCAGCACTGACAGGCAGAAAGTCAAAACTACTTGTAGATCTACACAAAACCAAAAGTGACAAAACGACAAAAACTTTACTTGAAAAAGGCGAAAAGTCATAAGGACGGTACGGTACGCGGTACCGGTAGTTTCAAACTGAGTACTTGACGTCAAGGTCACACTTTGTGGCGTCATGTTGACACGCACATGCATGACCTTTCACTTTTCGGATCAAGCAAGAGGCACAAACTGCGAAGCAAGACTGTGGCTGCACTGGTCGCATGAAGTGTTTCTTCTTCAGTCTGCTTTTTCTTTTGTAGTTCTGCTGGGTCTGGACGTTCGAGTGGACTCTGCAAAGAATCGGGCTGGAGATTTATTGCCGGCCTGACCTGAAGAAAACCGTATCTGTGACAGTGTTTGCGCGGTGTCGAGCCAAAATGCCTAACTCGGAAGAAATGGAACGAGCCCCTCTCGTCTCGAATACTATCAACGGTAAGCGGCAGCTCATGAGGGAGTCGTAATAGCCACACCGTCACTGACATGGTGGGACTCTCCAAGTAAAGTTAGTTTTATCATAACGTCCTTGCCTCTAGCTCTCGTTGCCAGCGTTTGTTTGTTTGCTGTTCTATGTGCATGCTTGCGGTTTTTTGAGTGGCCGCGAAGAAGTCTTCACATTCTTTCAACTCTACGCTCTACTGAGTCTCTAGCCAGCTTCTCCCTATCGGGCCTATACTTCATCCTTCTTCATAATTATAAAGGAGCACAGTGCTCTTGTGTGCTACGAGGGCCTCTAAGAACTCCAATTGGAGTTCGCTGAGGCTCCTGATTACTATTTACAAGTGAGCCAATAACAATTTAAAAGAGAGAGAGAGCCCAATTTGAATTTTGATATCCACATGCAGGCCTACCAACTCTGTCTGCGTTATTCTGTGGAGACAGATTTCACCACACCCTCGTCTGCTGCATGACAACGTTGAGATGCTCTGTGTGTGTGTGTGTGTGTGTGTGTGTGTGTGTGTGTGTGTGTGTGTGTGTGTGTGTGTGTGTGTGTGTGTGTGTGTGGTTTGTGTGGTTTGTGATATTTACTTCCTCTGTTTGTGAGTCCCTTTCCATCAATATGGCAGCTTGTTTTGATTTCCTTTTTTTCAATTCATTTTGCTGTACTTTCTGTTTTGTTTGCGCCACTGCCCCTCACCTTGCGCTCAGTTCTCTGAGTGGAGGGCGGCGTGACCCCAAGGGGTAGCTGATTGATAGTAGTAGTAGTAGTAGTAGTAGTAGTAGTGTGTGTGTGTGTGTGTGTGTGTGTGTGTGTGTGTGTGTGTGTGAGAGAGAGAGTTTCATACGTGCCTGCTGCCATCAACCTGTCATTGTGTTGCATTCTTTGCCGCTGTCGCTGTCGCAGGATCGGATGAGGACCAGCGTGAGCCACCACCTCCCTACACGTCCGTCGAGAACAGTCGCAGGGTGTGCGACGTGTGCCGAGCAAGTCTGACCTTCGCCAGCCGGCCTAGCCTGCGTGTGATCACCTGCAGCCAGTGCAAAGAGGCCACGGTAAGCAACACAGTGAAACAGCCGGGGCGTAGCTGGTCCCCCCTTTTTGGGGGGGGGGGGGGTGCACGGCCGCATTCAATGCATGTGTAGGATGGCTGGTGCATATCATTCATAGTCATAAAGTGCATGCTGAACCTAGGTCGAAATTTCTAGGGGGGGTGCACGTGCCTGAAACCTGTCCAAGATGACCGCTCGAGGGACCTTCATAACGTGGTCCCTGTTACCAGGGTCATTTGACTGGAAACAGCATCCCTTGGTCCTGGTTTCAGTGGTCTTCTAGGACAGGTGGTCGCCTTATCCAGGTGGTCGCATTGACAGGTTTTACTGTACTAAGATTGCTGATCACCTGCCGCTGCACCGTGTGCCTTGGTGTTTCTCTGTGCACACGTGGAAGTGCTTATCGAAAACGTAGGCGCATGAATCAATAGGGCTTGAAAGTCCTGCGTCACAGCATAGCAACAATTTCAAAAATTCAAAAAACTGGATCCACATGGATCCAGGTTTTGTATGGATCCAAGCACATTTCAAGTGGTCTTACTCACAGCACGGTGATATAGCCTTTGAAATTGACTGGGTTGGCTAATGGGGGTGGGGTGACAACTGGTGGCGAAGACAAAATCACACCTGCATACGACATGCGTGGGTTGCTATGCACCCACACGCTGAGGCAATAGACACCCTTAGCAAACAACGGTAACACTATTTTTTTACGGTACCCGTGCCTTGATCACCCAAATGGCGTTGAAGCTGCAGCGTAAAAACGTTATGGGGTTGATTTATCGTTGTGACAAACGGTACGTTTTTTAGCAAAATATTGCATAGTCCGTATTCTCCGTATGTATTTCACCTTGTATCGCGTATATGGTGACACAAAACCATTTAATGGTTGTCCAGGTGGTCGCTTTGGATGCGGCTAATGGGGTCTTTCTCGGCACTTGTGCCAGTGGTTGTGAGACTTATCCGCTCACCCCCACCGTTAGGCGCTGCATCTGCCGCTAGGGTTTACCGGGTGTTAGCGGCCGTCGTGAGTTCCCTTTGGGAACGGACACGATAATTTACTTCTTTTTTTTAATGGCTGTACCGCGCGAAATAAAAGCTATTCTCGTGGCAACAGCGTACTAAAAATAGCGTGCATCTTGCTAAAGGTCGAACCCAAACCACGGTATTTTCCCCCTTACGGTAATACCGTTACAACATAACGTTTTTTGCTATTAAAGGGTGTCTATTGCTAATAGCAAAGTCACACCTTAGTGAATCCAAAGTAGAAATCTGACGTGAACTTACTACTCCCTGGCCGTTTTGACGTCATAAATAGGGAGGTTCTGCTATACGTGAAACGTAGAGAAATCACGTAGAGAGCAGGTGTCTGGGTTAGAGTCTACGGCTTCGCGTGTTTTGGGTCCAGAATTCTACGCGGAGATGAGATTCTCTACGTTGTGGCACACGCAGAGAAAATGCGTACGGATCTGCTGCGTATCTATCAACTGCAGGCAGAAAACTGCCAAATATGGAAGGGGAAAGTCCCAGTACACATTCCACGTGATTTCTCTACGTGAACGTAGAGCAGAACAGCTTTTCTTTACGTTACAGGAACGCGAAGAGAGTTCCCGGGCCTACGTGATTTCTCTGCGTTTCACGTATAGCAGAACCTCTCTACTGTCAAGCCTTATCTGTACATTTTCAACCCGGGGCCGGAGAAAAAAAGGCGTCTTTGCATGACGTGGTGGTATGACTCCGGGAGAGTAACACCAGTGAACAGTCCAATATGGAGTCTTGTATTAGAAATTGGCATTTTATTTATTTATTTCACTCAACCCGTGGTCTATGACGAATTGGCACGCAAAGTGCGAGAGAGGGGTGATAGCCAACCACGGCAAGAAAAGAAAAGAAAGGAATAAAGAAAAAGAGAAGGAAGAAGGGTAGACAAGAATCCATACACTACAGAATTCGCGCTGTGCGCCTTGACCTTGCATGACGCTTTGCTCCTCTTTCTGCGAGAACCAACCAACTATGTCTGTTCAGTTAGTGAAGTACAGTGAACACTAGAACCAGGCTCATGTGCCAATAGTGAAGCTTGAAAATCAGGCTTGTATTCAAAGCAGGTATCTATACGAGACAGAATACACTACGCTATTAGGTTTTCTCTTGTAATGCCTGTGCATATGTTGGTGCTTGTCCACAGCCCGTGGATGCACCGCCGCTGGGCAAGATGTACTTCCGCTGCGTCTGCAACTGCCTGCTGACGTGCTCGTCCACGGCTCGCCGAGTCAACTGCCCGCGTGTCACCTGGTATGTTGCAGTTCACTGGCACCCCCGACTTGAGCGCTACTGTTGTTGTTTTATTTTAATTCGCATAATCAAGTGGGCGGTAGACCCAATTACAAGAGAGCGAATGTGCATTCCTGTTTAGACGTCTGATCTTTGTATAGTCTAAGAGGGTATGGGAATTGTTTTATTGACAAATGGACACACACGTATACGAGCGTGAGCCAGAGTTTTTCAAATAATTATGCAGCTCTGGCTCATTCGTGAGGTTGGATTTCATCGTCCACCACTATAGTAGCAGTAGGTGGATATACAAGGCCGGTGACCAGGTGGCATAGCACCATGGACTACGTTTGTGATGGCCAGTTGTTCTCGTGATGCACTCGTTACTACCGCTGCGCTTCATGTGTGTATGGTGCATGCCGAAACCCTGTTGTGCATAGGCTTGCAGCATTCAACTTCAAGTACAAGTCACAGTTAGACACTTTGTAGCGGCAACTGACGAAATCCGATCTTAATTGTGACGGAAGTGCAACTGTTCATTAAACGTCTAAGCATGTTGTTGGTGCTGGTACCGCGCCGTGAGGTTGACAGGGTCGGATTTGGCTGCACAGGTACATGCCTACTTCGAAGTACATGGACTCCTTTTTTGCATTGTGCTTGAATGTTTGTGTTGTGTTGTGCTCGTTTGTGCAGCGGTCGCACTGTCACTGTGCCTGCGAACATGCGTCCCAGAAACACAGCCGCTGCCGCGTCGCGCGGGGGATCAAACAATCAGCTCACTTGCCCTCAGTGTCAAACCGTTAAAATCGTAAGGGTTTACCGGCACTGTTGAGCTTCTACAGTGCATTTCACGTGCATGTACATGTATGGGTTTTACGACAAGAGGTCGATTGGGTGTTTGTTACCTTATCACTTAGATATTCATACTGGTGAGCCCTTGTGTATACATGTACATGTACCGGCACCTGGACTCCAAGACTCTGTGTGTGTGTGTGTGTGTGTGTGTGTGTGTTGTGAAAATGTGTAGCTTTCAAGTTTTCAGATGTCTGAACTCTACTGTGTGTGCATATTTTGTTTCTGTTTTACCCTGGCAGTGGCGGCCTCGTGGCTACAGTGCTCGCCGATGTACAAGCTGCTTGCATGTGTAAGAACAATGGTACAGTCTGTTGGAACGTCATGTGTATGTGCGTGTGTGTGTCTGTGTGCATGTGTGTGTGTCTGTGTGTGTGTGTGCGTGTGTGTGTGCATGGCTGCCACATGTTGGTACTTGACCCGTTGTCACTTTGCCCATATTCTTTGTATGCACGAGTGCTCGGTACCGGAGGAATAAGGCAGCTGCTAGATGGGTCCTGTTACTAATGTATTCTATTGAACTCCCTTCACTGAGTCCATGCACATGCTGTTGTGTGGACTGCATAATGTTGATCCCCTATCACCTGCATCTGTGAGCTTGGTGTATATTTCAGATTTCGCTCGCGCAATCTGAAAAAAGAAGGAGAAATCTGCCCGAACCCGCTCCCCATTTTATTCATGAACGAAGGGCCTTTTAAAAAAATGAATTTATTTGTATGTGTTTCTTGCCTTCCACCTATCCGCTTCGTAGAATACCCGTCACAGCGCGCATGCGTAGGCATGCACAGACCTGGGGCCTCTTCTACCTCTTGCTCGGCTTGTTCTTCTTTGCTATTTCAATCGCCGGAGTTGTAAGTACATGTACCAGGCGTTATTTATTTTGTTTTTGAAAGGGTTGGGAGAACTTCAAATTCAAAGGATCAGTCGGGGAAGTGAACTGCCTGAAAAGAGAACAAATCTCCAGACCCACCAGGACTCGAACCCGGGACCTTGCTTGTCATGAGCTAATTTTATTTTTATTCTTATTTTACTAGGGAATTCCCAATAGGCGTCATCGCCTTTTTACAGGGAACCCCAAGAGAGTCTTGGTGGATGATCGAGATTCAGCAGACATGGCTGAGCCAACGAACTAGTTCAGGGTGTGCCAGTCTGCTGGTTGAAAGAGCTCCGCTTGCAATGATTACCCGTGTTTTCCGGAATATAAGCCGCACTGAAGTGTAAGCGGCACTCAATACAGTCATCTACCCTGTACATGTACTAGTAGTGCACGGTTCATTTGACCATCGTAGTATAAGCCAGGCCAAACTTTTTTTGGGATGAGCTACAAGTGTTTAAAGTGCGGCTTTTACTCCGGAAAATACGGTAAGTAGTGTGCACTGGTGGCGCCGTTCAGGACCAGCCTGTGTGTGTGTGTGTGTGTGTGTGTGTCTGCTATGGCTTCTGCTGTAGCATCGCTATCATCGCCTCCGGCGATGGGCGTCCAATGGTGTGTGTGTGACTGTTCGCGCTGTTCATTTCACTCCTGAACTACATGTATGTGCTCACAAGCATTACGTGCACACTCATGATTATGCCATTCCGCCGAGGGCTTATACAGGTGGAAGTTTGGACTCTTGTTGCTGTGTGTCGGGAGGGTGCTTCGAAGTAGATGAAACAATCTCGGTGGCACCGCTCTCTCCGACAACTACAAGCAGAGAACATGAGTGAATCGACACTGTCGCCGCCGCCCCCGTCCCCCCCCCCCCCCCCACCCCCACTGTTAGACCGGTTTGCAGAGTAGACAGTTTAGTGAGTTTACTTTACTTGAATTTAGCGTGGGTTCTCGTAGAATACATGCAATACTTATGCAGTATGCGTATGCAGTATGCGTATGCCTGCTTGCAGTGTACTGTTCATTTAGTGAGCTTGGGTGTATTGTTGCACAGTCGGGCAGTTAGTTCACTTTTTAGTAAGTTTTTACTGATCTTTCCTTTTGACTTGTTTGTTGTTTTTGTTGTTGTTGTTGTTGATAGGTGCTGGTGGCTGAGTATTCGGCAAGCCATGGACGTAAGGTTCCCTTATTTTTACTATTTTTAGGGCTCGTACTGTAACCCTCTGGGAAGGGCGGGGGGGGGAGGGTGCAATATGACCCCATACTAACTTGGTATAGTGCTACATCACCTTTGTCTTGATAAACCATGAGTTTCGTGATGCAATGATCATAAGTCCGGTAAATTGTTTACACCGCCAAGTCCACTCTTTGCTACCTCATCACATGAGGATGCAGTGTCGAAGCAGTACCTGAGCAGGAGAGTACCTGGCTCAATATCTATCCGACCATCCATATTAACGAGGCCTGAAGCTGCATGTCCGGTGCACTAGTATATTCACAGTTACAAAAACACTTTCTCTGTCCTCTTATTGTTTGTTATTCACAGTTTAAAGGGGAAGTTAAGGCAAAAATCAAAATTTCACCAGTTGTAGTCTTCGGGGTGCTGAGTCGAATGGTCGTGGTCCGAGGAAGCTGAGACGCTCCCTTCCTACTTGAATCCCAATCGAACTCGCGCACTTCCACCGAAACTGGGTGACTGCGCCCTACTAGATGGGGATTTGTATGCAAAATGTCACTAAAAGCGCCATTTCGTTCTTATAAAAGCACGGATGACCGCGATTGGCCCATATGTTGTAGTCTTTTGGACGCTGAGTCGACTGGTTTTGGTCTGAAAAGGCTGCGATGCAGCGTTCCTCCTTTATTCCCAATCGAACATGGTTGAACAAGCGGTCACGTGCTCCTGCGTACACCAGTCAGCTGGTCACCGTGCCTGCAGGGTACAACTTACTAGCCTGTTTGACCTTTTTTGGGTGCCGTCCTGTCACTCGAGTTGAACCTTGGTGTGAAAGTTATCGCCTGCTGGCGTGGTGGCCAGGTGATTTGGGCACCCAGGAGCACGTGACCGCTTGTTCAACCATGTTCGATTGGGAATAATGGAGGAACGCTGCATCGCAGCCTTTTCGGACCAAAACCAGTCGACTCAGCGTCCAAAAGACTACAACATATGGGCCAATCGCGGTCATCCGTGCTTTTATAAGAACGAAATGGCGCTTTTAGTGACATTTTGCATACAAATCCCCATCTAGTAGGGCGCAGTCACCCAGTTTCGGTGGAAGTGCGCGAGTTCGATTGGGATTCAAGTAGGAAGGGAGCGTCTCAGCTTTCAGCCTACAGTATAATGATGTACGTATATGTGGTATCCACAAGTAATGTCTGTTGTATTCCTTCTGCTCTTTTGTTTTGTCCTGTACAGTGTACTCTGCTTGTGCCAGTGAGTCTACATTGCTGGAACCCACTTAGACCATTATAATAATAATAATAAAATGAGATATGACAGTTCACGGCTGACGTGCAAGTCGGTCAGACGGACGTCCCCGTGTCCGTAGTAACACACTGACCTGCGCAAAGCCGGTGCTCGTGTCAGGAATTGGCTTCAGCTAGACGAAAGTGGTGAAGTGTTGGTGTTATCTGGCTTGGCAGAATGTCGATAGTCTCGACGCTTCATATCACTGTATTTCTGCTGTTTTGCTTGAATGAAGAGTATTGGCGGCCGTGGTTATGAGCTGTTCTGTGAATGGCAGTTTTACTTCAGCCGTTTACATTGTGTGCATCCTGTTGGATTCTATTGCCTAATCCTTCAATGCCTATTGTTGGCAGAATCTACTTTCGACTACTCTGTAACTAGTCCATGTGTGCTGGTAGCCTGTATTAAACCGTAGCTGTTTTGTGTGACTGTGAAAAGTGACTCCCTGTGTTCTGTTCTTTTCTCTCTCTGTTTTGCAGCATGTCTCTTCGGAAGTATCTTCTTTTTAGCGCGTGCCTATCTCTGCTTCACCTCCGTGAGCAGCTGAACTCCTGACAACACTAGGCCTAGCTCATTTTTAAGACAAGGTTGAGAGTTAGCACTGCATGTGCGCAGCCGAGTTTGGTTCGGTCAAGACAGAATTGCTTCTAAGTGTAGCTATTCCCCCTTTTCAATTGCTTGCCCTTTGCTGCTTTTGTAGCCCACCTAATACTTAATAGGGGACCTGCAAACAACACGGCCATCGACCCATCCCTGTAGGCCATAGATAGGCTGGCTAACTTCACCCTAGCTATGTTTCCCCACATGCTTCATCCTGTCTTAAAAAACGCGGCTGTGTAACTCAGTATACACCCTACAGGTCGAAAGAAGCAAAGCATCAACGCAGACCTTTTTTTCCCCCGTGTTAGTCGCAGACTTCCTAACTTTGCTGCATTATGTACACCGTGCACACATGCTGCTTTCTCCCTCTTTTCCCTTGACTGCGTTGTGGTGTACACCGCCACACATCTATCCGAATTAATTTTGTTACTTTCTTTTCACGCGAGTACGTACAGCGAAACTGTCCAATCGTGCTCATTCTTGATTTTTTCTTCTACAATGTAAACGCACATGGCCTATGGCTGCATGGAGCAGAAATAACTCCAAATAAGGCAGCATCAATAAACGAGACTTTGGAGCGTTCCACATGGTTGCCAGATTTGATGCAAACGGGGTGTGCGAGAGTATGCCTTCTTCTTAACATCATTCTGAAGAAGACATATACGGTCGAAACGTTAACAGTTGTCAGTATCAAGTGTTGCTCCTGTTGTGTGGCTATCTACTGCTGTGTACTGCTGTCTGTCATGCCCAGGGAGTCGTAAAATACCGGTATTTTACGACTCCCTGGTCATGCCTGCTTCTAATATGGTGACATGTATGACCTGGTGATACATGGTCATACATGAACAAGCACACACATATACATCATCATCATCATGCTGCTGTGGGGCTTCCAAGCAAACTTTATTGGGCACATGTAGAATGCTGGTGGAGTATAGAAGAAAGCTGTGCATGACGTCATCAAGCAAACTCAACAATGCACTGGCAGGTTCTCAGACAAACTTACAATCAGCAGTGGAGTTCCCTAAATATGTACAGACGAGTTAAAAAAATACTGAGAGGGTTTGCTGGGAAACTGCCAAAGATGGTGTGTGTTGTCAGTATCAGGCTAGTCTTGGCTCTGCTTATTCGTCGGCAGCCAACAGCATGTTGGGAATGCCGTTGAGGATGGGGAACTTGTGACTGCTCTCCGGGCACACCAGATGTCCCTCCATCACCTCGATCTATGCACCACACGACACACACACAGATACACACATAGCATTCCACGAGTGAAAATTCAGTACCGTACACAAGGGTCCTTTTGCACAACAGGTCTTTATTAGCCACAAATCCTCGGTCTCAACCCTTATTCTATACATATACTTTAAAGATGCATACTATTTCTGGAGTTACAGCACTGCGTTTAGAGGAAGAACCGTCCACACACACACACTCACCTCCATAAGGCAGTGGTGCGCTGCCTTCAGAAACTCCTCGTTTTCCTCGAAGCCCTCTGGTACGGTCGCGGGCAACTTGTCAGCATGACCAATCTAACAACACGCAGAGAAGTCGCACTATGTGAAGTTCATCCACCGTCCGTAGAGGGCTCAATTTGCCAAAGGCAAAGAGCGGTCACACTAGTGCGAGAAATACAGTAGTCTCACAATTAGCTGTTCTTTGGGACCTGGCGGCCAAGGTCAGAGCAAAAGAGCGGGTAATACGCCCATCTGGCATTGCCATATACGGAATGAATGAGTAATGCATGTGAGTACATGTACGCTGGGATCAGGATGTTCAGTTGTTCAACACCCTACACGACCATTACGTGCCCAGGTGGGTGTGCGGGGTGTTGGTGGTACAAATTACACGTCAGTGCGCAATGGGTTTATTGCTGGCCATTCACCGAAAGTACTTTGTCACAAGCACACCAGCACTGTTCACGAGAACACCAGTCACCTCAGCTACCCGTTACTTACCCACTGTGCTGCCTGGAAGAGCGCCGACCACTCCAGTCGCGGAATCATGCGAGAGATGAAGTCCGGGTTGAAATCGACCGCCTTCACGACAACATTTGTAGCCTAAGGGACACACATACACACACACACACACACACGAACGAACGCACATACACACAGAGAAGATAGGAGGCTGTTCTCAGGTTTCACACACTACAATTGTAAGCAGTCACCAGACAGTAGTAGTACAATGACATTGTATTCGAGCTGCCCAAACTGATCCTGATTCTAGCCTAAGAGATATCTACAACTATGTGCGGGAGACACCAAAACGTTAGGGTGCCAGTTTCCAATGAATGGACTGTAGGCAGGATGAGAGATGGCACGTCAGGACATGTAACAGATCATACCAGAGTACGTACACTAGTCATACCCTGTGTGTCCGTGTACATGTCTGTGTACAGTTTTAAGTACGCGCGCGCGCGCGCGCGCGCGCGCGCGCGCGCGCGCGTGTGTGTGTGTGTGCATATTTGTGACAATGGTGTCGTAACTCAAACAACGTTTGTGCTCCAGGGGGAAAACCTCTACATGGGTCAGTCCTGTTGGCCACACTGGTTCTGTGCTCCGTACTTCGCATTTCCAGGTGCTCAGTATACTAGAAGGCATGTAACAATCGCCATCATGCACGACTGCAAAAGTCGAAATCAAACAATACACATGTGTGCAGTAACTACCAACGAAGGGCAATGACTCCCTTGGGCTTGGTTCTTGAACAGCACTCTCACTGTAATGCCCCCTAACTAGTCATGAGTACTGCATATGCATACTTGGTAGCCGATACTGCTAGCAACCAGAATGAACAAAAGTAATGTTCACAAATTCTCTCATTGAATTATAGAAATGAGTGAGTACATTCTAGAAGAAGATAGTTTTTAAAAAATTCAACGAAGCGCAAGAAAGGACATTGTTACCTCAATAGCGAGAGGAAATCCCTTCTTGACACCCTTGACGTGCGACGCCAGCATATTATGTGTGAGAAGACGCATCTTTGCAATGAAAATCAACTGACTACATAATCATCCACAATGTGCCATGCTGGAAAATTGAAAAGGATTTTGTGGTGGCTGATGATGGTGTTATCGTTTTCAACAAGTTCAAAATCTCATCGGGCACGGAAAGTTTTCTTTCGCACTGTTTTGACGCAATTTCCCTAACAAATGACCAAACTCACGAGCAAATTCACACAATCCGATCTGTTTCTCGGAAACTTCCTCCCAAACCCCGCTGGTGGCATGGTAACGGATATGGCGTCCAAAAAGCGATGTCTTGGCGCTTCACTGTTTGTGCATGATGTAATGACTGCAGTAATGAGTTTGATTTTGAACAAGATCGATGTTGAGTTGACCCATTGGCACCATCAAAATGTTCTGTGAAATGTCACTGTCTAATCGGTAACTTACTAGTAGTAGTAGTATTCCGTGCCCAGCAGCTGGCACCATTCAGTGAACTCAGTAGTTCGAAGTAGGGTGTATTTGAACCAGCTTCTGCAGTCATCCGTGTTGTAGTTGTGACGGAGTTAGGGGGTAATGCTTGCCATAAAATCAACTTGCAGAAGTGGAGTCGCCATGTCGCACGTCTTCTTTCTGCGTCGGGCCAATTCTGCCTTTGTTAGAAGGACCATAAAGAAAGTTGAGACCGTTCAAAGGGTTAGTAGATATCTGGCGAGCTCAACTTCTTCAGAAGCGCCTTCTGAAATCCAAGAGAACACGTATTATGACAAGTATAAGGAGAAGCTGCAAAAGAGACTAAAGTAAGTATTTGGTGAGAAACATGGGAGGAGTATAGACCAGTTCAAACCTGTCAATTTGAAAATATACAAAACTGGTCACTCATTCCATACATCCTGTACACACACCTTGTACACACTCTCTCTAACGGTCTCTAGGCTACACTGCAATTGATATACATTAGATCAAATTTTCGGGCAAGGCCCATCATCAGGAATAAGTCTACTGTAGACAAAACAGGGCTTTATATATATGTGACAAGTACTAGTGGCCAAAGGTGTGATGGTATAGCGTAAAATGTTGCAATACCACAGGAAGCGAGATTATTATTCTGTGTGATATGTATGAAGTGAAAATATAGTGCAGTGATAGTGCAGCATTACTAATGTGAGTACAAAGCAGAAAAATACACACTTCTAGCAACACACACACATACACAGTGCACAAATTCTTGCACAAATTATGACAGAGATATTTACACATCACCCAACAGTCGCCAACCATTGTCACTCATTACATGTAATATTAAAACATGGACACAACTGAGGCAATTTTCGGCTGGGATCTGCGCGTTTCGCAGCGCTGTAGGGGCTACCGTGTTGGCCAATGAAGTGCACCTCTGGCTCTTGGCTTGAATTCTGCACCTCAGGTAGCACAACTTGTGACAGCCCGAGGTTGTGTGGCCGCGGCCATGAGCGCATTCGTACGCAATGCGTTTCGGGCGTCAGGGAAATTTTGGATCGTTGTCTACTATTGAGGTTTGTCTTGTACTAGTAACCGATGTCGTACCAACGAGGTAGACATGTAACGACCTCGAGTACTACAACTCCCGAATAACGACAAAATCTTCAAGCCTAGTGACTATTAATTCTTGACTGCATACTTTCAATCTCACATAATGACAACTCACGAATAACGGCACTTTTCTCTTGCACGATCGAGGGTCATTATTCGCAAGATCAACTGCAGGTCTACCCTCGTTAGTACAACATCGGTTACAAGACAAACCTCTTTAGTAGACAAAGTGGTCTCCTTGTGAGAAGGCACCATTGCCTATTTGTTTGAACGACTAGAAATAAAAGCACAACAACAACAAAGATCCAAAATCCCCTTACGCCTGAAATGCGTACATTCAAGTCCGGATAGTAGATAATACTTGTTAAAGACTAAGAATTTGAACCCCCCCCCAAAGGGATGTCTACTAACGAGGGTAGACCTGTATTAGCAACACACGGTCGTGAACCCAAGCCAGGGGGGGGGGGGGGGACTTTCACTGGCAGGCACTGTACACATGACAGCTGAGAGTACTGAAGCGCAATGCACCACATTGATCTAGTGCTCTTTCATGGGTTTAATTTCCCCAGCCAGACCCACTATTGACAGATTGTGGCGAATGTCTGTCTCATTCCAGGGAGATGGAGGAGAAAGGGGAGGCTGTTGAGCTGCCCAGCAAATCGAAGACGTCCACCGCTACAGCATCCCAGCCATCATCCACGACCACTACTACAACCACCACAGCAGAGGATGAAGTGTCTGATGTAAGAGGCCACCAAGGCTTGTATATCTGACAGTTTGTGGTGCAAGATTTTATTTGCTTCGCCCAATCAGTACCATGCTGCCGCTGCCACTTTTGTTGTCGTTGTCGTTGTTGTTGTTTCAAATCTTTATTCTCACGCTGGCCTGTGGCCAATAAGAGATAGTTGTTGTTGTTGTTGTTGTTGTTGTTGTTGTTGTTGTTGTTGTTGTTGTTGTTGTTGTTGTTGTTGTTGTTGTTGTTGTTGTTGTTGTTGCTGCTGCTGCTGCTGTGTCGTTGTCATCGGTTTTTTCCCTTTCCTCTTTTCTCCAAGGGGTATGTATGTATGTACGTCACATTGTGTGTGACACTGGGCATGTGGGAGAGGAAATGAACGCTCTTCTTGCCATGCTGAACTCGATAAAAACAAGTCCACATTGTACAGGTTTATTACATGTTCTAGCCTCTCCCTCTTCCCCGGGGGGGGGGGGGGGGGGGGGGGGGCAACGTTAACGATAGATCATCTTCACCCCTCTCTGTGTGCTTGCTGCTAATGCATCTCTAAATATGACTGCTCTTGCATTGTCTGCTCAGGTCCGTGGTGGATCCATAGCAGCGCGCATGAAGCCAGCTGCACAAGAGAACAGCCCTGAGCGCGACGCACCTAAGCCGAATTCGATCTCTGCCTTCCAGATTCGGGTACGTGCAGTTGATGGATACCATGTCCTAACTTGGCCAGTGTGCTCTCTTGTAGGCCATAGAATGGTGCACTACCAGAAGCCTCTATGTACTTGCCATTTGCAAACAGCTTTCTTTGACTTTCACTGTACTAGCTTCCTTTGAGACTGTTAAAGTAGTCTGTTCCCTCTCTCTTTTCCCTGTACGTGTAGAGTTTAAACTCCATTGTTCACCTGGACATGCTGAAGACGAAGACTGCGGAGGAGATTTCGGAGGTGAGGTGTCCTCTTTGTATTTGCGGCTCACTTTTGCATGATGTCCGGTTCTGCTCGCGGCAGAAAACCTGCTACTACGATGTTCAGCTGCAAATCACTGCACTGTGTTTCGATGACGGTTCCTTCTGTGTGTATGTGTGAGTGTGTGTGTGTGTTTGGGGGGGGGGGGGTACGCACGTGCGTACATGGTGTACTTCAAAAAAAAAGTATACTGTAAAACATGTAATTTTGGGTGTATTAAAATTTCGGTACCAGGGACCTGCCAGGTTTCAGGTGTAATGTAGAATTAGGTGACCAGCATTCCCTTCACATACAGTGTATACTCTGGTGCCTTTTAGGTGTAATCTAAATTTAGGTGCCTGGTTTCCCTACCGAAATCACCGAAATTAAACTTACACCGAAAATATCGTGTTTTACTGTATTATCCATGGTGAAGGATGGTAACCACCGCTACAATGTAGTTAGGCTTTGTTTACATGAGGCGTTTCAACCCTGGTTGAGTTCGACCCGGGTCAAGTTTCAACCCGCCATGAACACAGATTGACTGGCGTGTTTACATGACGCATTGCGCCTGACCCGGGTTGAGAAATCGTACTATCGTACTTCTGTGCGTATCTCGCGCCGGGTTTGAACATCACTGCACAGGCATAATTTCGCGCGAAAGTATTAGCGTGACCATACAGAACTCTAGAAGTGGACTTTTGGCGGCAAATCAGTATTTGACACGGGTCAACTGTCTTCATGTAAACACCCACCTATTTTTTTCATCATACAGACTTTCAACCCGGGCTGAACTCGACCCGGGCTGAACTCGACCCGGGTTGAACATTCTCATGTAAACACAGCCTAGGATGATGTGACCCAGGTAGCTCATGTACAGATATCGCGCACATGTTTCACACAATAGGTGCTACTGTTTCTAGAGTGCTCAGTACCTGCTGGCAGAGTGTCCTTACACAGACAGCAGATCAGGATTGTGTTGTTCCATGTTTCATCCTGAGTGCAATTCCCAGACTACGATAGTACGTGTAAGAATCTGTAGGGGTAAGGAAGAATGCAGTGGAGGCACACACTAACCAAGAATGAGCCATAGCCCGGTACTTAGTAATACAACCGCCTGACCTTCAGCCTGAGACCATTTGGAGTGCCCTGTGGTATGTTGACCATTCGACGGGTCCTCTGCTCAAGAGTGAATGCACTTCGCCACCGGGGTAGCTGATTTTCAACTCGTAACACATCCAGATATCGAGTCTGAGATGTGATGCCTCCGCACATCACTTGCTATTGTGGCTAAGGCAGACCTTGGCAGATCACAGCTAACATACGGTGTGGTCTGCCTGTAGCATGTATGCGCTATGTACGCTGTGCGCATGTATCGGCTGGGCATATTTTGCTCTTGGGTGACACTCTGATGCTCGCTGTGATTTGCAGATCTGGAAAGAACATCACTTGAAGAAGGACTGCATCACGGCTACTATTCCGGTAAGAGCCAAAGCCGCAGCGATTCGTTCAGTTGTGTCATCAACAGACTGTTTAATTTAAAAAAATTGCTGGATGCAATGCCAACTAATTCCATGGCTGATATTGAGCTTGTTTCCGAGCATCTGAAGCTTTTCTCCCAGGACATGTACAGGACAATCACATATCGATCACATACCAACAGTCTGCTGTGAGCACAGGCATGGCTATATTTGACTGTGGTGACTGGTTTTACTGGTTTTGTTTTTGGCTTTTCGTGCATGCTTTGATGACACCAGGTGGAGAAATACGCGACTGTGAACGAGACTGCGGAGAAATATAAATCGGTGAGTACTCTGCCGTTATTTGCACTGACTGTACCTGTTGTCTTGCCGTACCGAGCTGCATGCCACTGCCTGATTTGGCCGCATTATTCATGAAGTCGAGGACCAGGGCTTACGTTACTGGCACCTGTCCCACTTTGCAAACACTTACATTCAGTGTACTTGTGCATGTGTGTTTTTGTTGCATGTGATTATACTGCTCCAGTTCATTCTGCCCTTGCCACGTGAAAGCGGGTACGAGCTAATGTACGTGGAGTATGCCGCCCATCAGTTCCAGATGACGTCACTGCTCAACTACAAGGTACGTTGGCCACTCTGGATGCACAGAACCGTCGGAAAGCAGTGCCTTTGATTGGTCTGGTAGGATCAGTGCCTTTCATACAGTTTGTGTATTGATATGGCTGGTACACATGACCTTGTTTGATATGGCGGGTACACATGACCTTGTTTGATATGGCTGGTACACATGACCTTGTTTGATATGGCTGGTACACATGGCCTCCTCAGCAGTAAACACACGTTGGTGGCCAAAACGTTGGTCCGGCCATGGCCTGACCACCCGCACCGGTTCCACCGGGCCGGCCTGATGCGTTCGTTACGTAGCACTGCAAACCGCCTTCCTCTGTTCTTGGGAGAGTACTTACTTGTTATCAGGGATGTCGCACACGCTACGGTCACTACGGTATTGACTGTACCATTATTGGCCCCAGGTACCCCATGAATCAATAAAATGCACTGATTTGGGCTCTAAAATTCCAAAATTTTCAGCTCAGCCATCCCTCCCCCACGAGTAGATTGTACTTCAGATGGCTGACCGTACCACACTAAAATACCTTCCGACGGCCCTGATTATGAACAGTGAACCCACATACAGTCAGACCTCGCATAACCGCACACATCCGTTTTCCACAAAAATATCCGGATAGGCGAGGGAACCGGATAATCGAACACACACACTGTATGTATGCATGGCATATGCTGTAAATCGGTAACCAGCGATTTTCTTCCGGATGGCGAGGGATCCGGATAAAAGAGGAGCGGATAAGCGAGGTCTGACTGTATCTGCATCTACTGGTACACTGTACGTTTGCTTGTGGTGGGGAGTGATACTACTGAAGTACATGTAGTAGTAGGAGGGTCGCGTCTCGAGTGGGGTTTTTTTCCGTATGCTTTTGATGCGCTTGCACCGCTGCTTTTTTTCTCTCTGTGCAGACCCTGGGAGAGAGTGCTCCTGCGCAGGTGACAATCAGCCATTACACTGAGCTGCAGGCTAGCCACGGTAAGCGACAATCTCCTTTGGCTGTACAAGCTGCATGTTGCTACTACTGGCACTACAAGTACAGTAGTACTCTGATTTCAGAAATTCTAGGTGCTCGAACTTTTACACATGAGGGCAAAAGACCAGTTTAGCTCAGTTTTAGGTGGACAGAAATTTTAGGTACAGAGAAGCAGTTCCCTACTGGATGATATGTATCCGTGTTTGTGTGGCTATTGAAATTTTAGGTATGAAAGAGATGCGCCGAAAGTACCGAAAATATAAGTACATGTACATGTACACCCGGATTTTGTGAAATTTCAGTACTTTGGCAGTTCCGCATACGCATTGATCTTGATGGCATGCCCTCTACTTTGCATAACGGGTGGTGTGTCTGTCTGTGTGGTGCTTCGTTACAGGGATCGTCTTGATGCGCGGTGAATTCGACAACAAATTCCTGGTTAGTGTGGTCACACTTTGTTCAGTTGAATTCAGGGCACAAGCACATGAAATCCTTGAGCTTGGGCTTTCTTCTCGAGCTTCTGATTCTACTAAGGTGATGCCTGAATCTTTACGTAACTTACTCACTAGGCGAGGGAATGGAAAAGGGAAAAGTCTGAAGAATTTTTTTCATAACTGTTGTGTAATGGAGTTTTTAAGGATACGAATGCTGCATCTGCTCTTAGTGTGGCTTTGTGAGCAATTCCCAGCACCTACAGTGTTCCATACAAACTACTTCAGTACATGCTGCATGCTTGGGCCAACTGATCTTTTTCACCAGGTGTAATCGTCTGTGTGTGTGTGTGTGTGTTGCGCACGTGTGCTGTAGAATGTCCTGGAGCTTCAGTGCCTGGCCAATCAGCTGCAGATGTTCTACCTTGCCCAGCCAGGCTCTCCGCATCGCGCCGCTCTTGAGGTGTTTACCAACCAGCCACAGGACTTTGACTACAACACGGTTATCAATCTGCTCAAGGAGTCGGGCATGGCGCACATCCAGCAGCAGCAACAGCAGGAAGAGTCAGAAGGCCCTGGTGCACCCAGTGATGAACCTGCGAAGTAGACGTTCCTGCAGATCGCAAGCTGAACTTCAAGTGACATGCATGACACTCTAGAGGTGCTGTCCTTCTTGAATTAGAGGTCTTGCACATTCCCTGTGCTGTGCAGAGAGGGAGGGAGAGAGAGAGAGTGTGTGTGTGTGTGCGCGTGAGAGAGAGAGAGAGTGTGTGTGTGTGTGTGTGTGTGTGTGTGTGTGTGTGTGTGTGTGTGTGTGTGTGTGTGTGTGTGTGTGTGTGTGTGAGAGAGAGAGAGAGAGAGAGAGAGAGAGAGAGAGAGAGAGAGAGAGAGAGAGAGAGAGAGAGAGAGAGAGAGAGAGAGAGAGAGAGAGAGAGAGAGAGAGAGAGAGAGAGAGAGAGAGAGAGAGAGAGAGAGAGAGAGAAGAGAAGTACTTCCTTTTGATTGGTGCAGCCGGATTACCAGGTATTTTCCTTCTCATTTCTGCAAATCACCTGTGTACAACCGAGCTGGTTTGTGTAAGGAATACACACTTTTCCTAGGATTTCTGCTACTCTCCCACAGAATCATCCATGATTTACCCTTGCTTTGCTTTATTATGATTTCTAACGAGGTACACTTTATTTTAGTGTGCAGAAGTATAAGGTTTTTAATAATAATCGGAAAACTACCTGAAAGCCTTTTCTGCGTGCCTGGTGGTGCTTTTTGTGAATTTGAAAATAGCTTTTTCTTGGCACAGGACATTGCAGTGCAAGTCTTGTCAGAAAAGAAACAAACCATTAGAGAATGGAAATATTAGAACAGAGCTGAGGGATGCTAGAATAAGTTTCAGTGAGAACTGTTGTGAAAATGTCGTCCAGCAGTGCGAGGTACGTCTTTACGACACATTGTTACAATAAAAACAGTTTGTATGAAGCCCATGAGGAGATTACTCATATGGGGATTAACGCATCTGTCGGTAAACGAGATCTAAAAACGAGAAATTCAAATATTCTCTCCATCCTGTTATTGCATGGAAATCTGCTTCAAGTCCATCAATGAGCCAAGACACGAGGAGTATAATCTTCAACAATAAATTATTATTTTTGTGCGCAAGATTATTAAAATTGTGAACGGTACCATCCGGCTGTTGCAATCTCTCCTTCTCTTCTCCTCAATGCGCTCTCAGTCGAATGCTGATAGTGCTTTGTAAGTTGAGGAGAAGAGGAGGAGAGATTGTTGCAAGATACATTTTGCCAAAATTAATGTTATCCGAGTGCCTGCTTGTGCCTGCCTGTCACAGTTAGGAGCCACATCTGACGGCTGATCATGGGGTGGTGGCGTCCTATGGAAGCGGAAAGGTTAATTGTTCTTGACCCATCGGCGTCCTGTATGCGAACTCGTGCAATTTTTATTTATTTGATTTATTATCAGAGTACTGTCCTATATCAGCCAACTTTGTATCATTCTTCTCCTATATCCCTCGGCCTGATGATGCCCTCCTGGGTGAACATTTGGAAATTTACTGTACGTGGTGTAGCCAAGGATTGTTGGTGTGTTGCGAGTTGGGTGTACTGAAAATATCAGAGTATTCATGAAAATCAGTTCAAATTCGTCAAAATGTTATTGAACCTGAATTGTGTCCTTTTTCTGATTTTTTTATTATCTCCGAGGAAAGAGCAACAGCTATCTGAGTAAGCGCAGCATGGTAAGTTGGTACGTTGATTCACACTGCCGAGCCATGCTTCAGTCCCTGTCTTGCAACACAGGCTGCATACGAATTCTGCACATCAGTCTCCCCATACCACCGCGCCGCAGGACTACTGACTACATCCAGTTAGATCTTGCCGTGCATGCTGATACATGAGATCCGGTTGATACCCGTAGGCTGTTTACTAATACATAAATTTAAAGAAATAGGCTATTGCTGCCTTAACACAAATCGTCAAAAGAACTTTAATAATGGCTAGTTCCATTCAACGCAACGCTTTCTGGCGGTAATACTCGGCCAAGAGGTTACCGGCATAGTCAACATAGTCAAACTCCATCAGGGAGTGCTCAGCTTGTACCAAACACCAGATTGCCCACTGCATGTTGCTGGCCAATGCACCCAGGCTCGCCTCGTTGTATAGAGTAGCGACATCGTGATCCCCTTTGCTCTGCAGAGCTGCTGCCTCAGTACTGTATACTTGCAGAAAGCTCTCCTGTTCTGCATGGCTTGGGAACAGCGAGGAATCCATGTGTTCAACAACGCCGCAGTATTTACAGAACAGGTTCCCCAAATCAAAACACCGGTAATTCCAGCCAGCGTACTCGTGATCAATAAAAGCTACCTGATCGGGGTTGTCATCAAGCTCCAAAATATTTTCTGGTCTTACATCATTGTGACCGAATACCACGGGTGAATTGAGGGACTGGAGTCGATCCACTAACGCCTTCACCTCTGCTTTTAGTACAGACCGACTTTGTAGAATGGCATCAACACGTTGATGTACATCCGCCTTGCTAAACGTTTCAGGCACCAAGTCTAGCCAATGTACAAGGTTTCTCAGGATTGCAGGCTCAGGATTCAACAGTCCGTCAGGTTTCGGCACACTGTGTACCCGGGCGAGCTGCCTCGCAATCTTCGGGAATACATGGGGAAGTCTGGCCGAAGTTACCGTCAGTGGGCGACCCACGATGTAGCCATACACGAATCCATTGTCAAACGTGGCGCATAGAGGCTCTGCGTGTCCATGGCGCCACAACAGCTCAATGTGCTCCCGTTCCTTGCGTCGGTCTATGAGCAAGTCACTCCCTTCCCCGAACACCTTCACCAGCAGGGTGCGAGCCACACTGTTCCCATCGGCCAGAACGCCATACAAGCGATTCGCAACACCGCCTTGAAACACACGAATTGCTAGCGAGTCGTCCGACTTCCACTCAGGTCGCACGAGCCTGATCAAATCCAGCACTGATTCTTCAGAGTTGACGGTAAGTTTGATTTCTTTCACGTCCATTCTTGTCTTGCGGAAACAATTCGTAGCACTCCATTCAGGAACCACAGTTCGACATGTCTTTGACAAGAGCGCCCACAACCACGATCCAGTGCACTCATGTGCTTCCTCTTCCTATCCACAACTCATATCAGCCGTTCTGCAGATCCGAGACACCCCGCACACGTACACTCACCCGTCGTTCTGACTCTCGGTTGCTTGGTGACTCCTCATAATTATCACGTCTCTTAGCTCTTGTTCTCTTCACTGTCCTGGACTTCTCAAACCACTCAAACACCTGTCACCAATACCAGTGATCGATCAGATTAATTAAAATTAATAATTTGCAAACAAGTAACTAATTTTAGTACATAGCAGCTGTGCCTTCGCTCTGCCTTGGAGCCTTTGTTGGATTGTGGATTAGTGTGGATTAAAAAGTGCCGTGTGCCGCGAAGTGCGCGAGGGTACGAGTACAATCATGTATGTCAAGTGGACTCGGGTACATATAATGCATATCCTTCTTGAATCAGAGCTTCAAGTATTTAGTTAGTTCTCATTCGTGATGTAGATTGAAAGATAGAGTCACTGATGATGTAGATAGAGTAGAGAAGAAACATTTGTTTTTGATTGGTGCGGGAGGACAGATATTTTCATTGTCATTTCTTGAAAGCACCTGTACAACCCGGCAGGACAGAGGGAGTGTTTAATAATTATGTAGTAGCAAGATTATAACCCCCACTCTTGGTAGTAGAATATCGTAATACTCCCTGGTAGATTATTATTATTATTATTTTATTAAATTTTTAATAGGGCATTCCCACAGGCCTAAGGCCTTCTTACGGGGTACCCTATATGTTTTTGTATAGATGAGCGGAAGTCTGATAGCGTGGAGCAAATACGAACAGAAGCAGGGAGCGAATTCCAGCGATCTGCACCTAAGAAGCTTAATGCGTACAAGCCATAGCGGTTATTAGCCGCTAGCCGGGGGAAGAGCAAGAGACAGAGTAACCTGCTACAACCGAGCTATTGAGAGCAGAGAGGTACACCGCGTACCGGCATGTACATCAATAGTAGGGCTGAAACGATCATGCATTTAGCCCAATCGATTACTCTTTATCATAACGATCGATTATTCTATTATAATCTTTAAGAGGCTGCACCTGGAATATGTACGTGGAATGGCCAAAAGTGGAAATATGTACAAAATTTTGCACAAAAAAGTATTATGTATATGTATGTAGACCGGACGCGACCTTGACCTTCGAGCTTCATGCTCCAGCTTCGTTGTATACTACACTAGGACTGTACTCTATGTTTGAACTCGCGCTGCATACACTGCGCGTATGAGAAATTTAAAAATTTAAAAACGCAAAATAATCGTAATCGGTAATCTAAACGATTGCTCGATCGTCAGATTTATCAAACGAGTACTCGATTATTCGGTATAATCGTTTCAGCCCTAATCAATAGTATGTCCATGCACACTTCTACAAGTACTGTAGGCGTTCTGCTTCTCTGCCACCAAAACACAACAACATCCGCGCCGGTTCATGCTTGCTTTCTATAATCATGTCCGCCTATCGAGGTACTTGTACAATGTGCACATTTCGTGAGCAAAAAAGTATTCGTTATTTTCTAATCAGAAAACATATCAGAAAGCTATTTCTGTGTGCCTGGTACAGATCAGATCGCGTGGGGCTTTTTGTAAATAATTTGAAAATATAATTTTTTCCAAGGCACATTGCAGCAAAAGTCATGCCAGATAAGAAGCAAACCATAAGAGGATGATTTTTGGACAGAGCTCAGCAGGGGATGTTACAACTGTAGAACAAGTTTCAATAAGAACTGTAGTGAGAAAGCCGTCCAGCAGCATATTGACACATGAAGTACTAGAACACCGGGGTCTTTTTAAGTTAATAGACTCTTTACAATACAGTCTCTAAAGAGTACAATCATGCATACGCGTTCTACACAATATCCCGTGCAGGGGACTACACACGTATGTAGTACATCTCTCCAGTTAGATCTCCTGCTGGTACCTAACTAATATAATAAATGACAACAAAGGGACTATCGCTGCCTGAACGTAAATTCGGAGCTTGGTGGCACGGCAGTAAAACTCAACGGGTAGTTCCATTCATAGAATCATTCAAACCAAGCAAGGCTTTCTGGCGGTGGTACTCGGCCAAGCGGGTACCAGCATAGTCAACGTAGTCAAACTCTATGAGGGAATGTTCTGCTTGTACCAGACCCCAGATTGTCCACTGCAGGTTGCTGGCCAGTGCACCTAGGCTCGCCTCATTGTATAGAGTAGCGACATCGTGATCCCCTTTGCTCTGCAGAGCTGCTGCTTCAGTGCTGTATACTTGCAGAAAGCTCTCCTGTTCTGCACGGCTTGGGAACAGCGAGAAATCCATGCGCTCGACACCGCAGTATTCACAGAACATGTTGCCCAGCTCAAAGCACCGATAATTCCAGCCAGCGTACTCGTGATCAATGAAAGCTACCTGATCGGGGTTGTCATCAAGCTCCAAGATATTTCCTGGTGTGGTGTCATTGTGACCGAATACCACGGGTGAGTTGAGAGACTGGAGTTGATCCACTAACGCCTTCACCTCTGCTTTTAGTACAGACCGACTTGGTAGAATGGCATCAACACGTTGATGCACATCCGCCTTGCTAAACGTTTCAGGCACCAGGTCTAGCCAATGTACAAGGTTTCTCAGGATGGCAGGTTCAGGATTCGAGATTCCGTCAGGTTTCGGCACACTGTGTAGCTGGGCGAGCTGCCTCGCAATCTTCGGGAAGACATGGGGAAGTCTCACTGAAGTTACCGTCAGTGGGCGACCCACAATGTAGCCATACACGAATCCATTGTCGAACGTGGCGCATAGAGGCTCTGCGTGCCCGTGGCGCCACAGCAGCTCAATGTACTCCCGTTCCTTGCGTCGGTCTATGAATAAGTCACTCCCTTCCCCGAACACCCTCACCAGCAGGGTGCGAGCCACACTATTCCCATCGGCCAGAACGCCATACAAGCGATTCGTAACACCACCTTGGAAAACACGAATTGCCAGCTCCTCCGATTTCCACTCAGGTCGCACGAGCCTGATTAAATCCAGCACTGATTCTTCAGAGTTAACAGCAAGTTTGACCTGTTTCACGTCCATTCTTGCGCAAACAATTCGTGGCACTTCATTCAGAAACCTGGTATTTTATATTGACATATCTTTGACTAAAGCACCCACAACCACGAGCCAATGCCAGTTGTTGGGCGCAGTGCATTCAGGCGCTTTCGCGTCTTATCCACAACTCTGCTTCTTTATCTAGATCTGAGACACTACACTCCACATACAGAACACGTCGTTGGATAGGTTTGCTTTTCCTGCTATTCTGGACATTTCAAAAAACTGGAACACCTGTTGTTGTCCATCGAAATCCCGTAGATATCTACCTGTGCATCAGTCAGCATGTGATCCTGTGGATGCATCGATGATTCATGGTCGTCTTGATTTTTACGATGATTTTTGTTTGTCCTTCAATTTTTGTCTTTCAAACTGTGTGCATTATTTTTTACAACTACATGTACTCAGCACAGCAAGCACTAGACTGGTGGTAAATGGTTCGGAAATACCTTGCAAATAATTCCATTTAGTGCTTCGCGAACTCGTTGCGCGTGATATGTGGCGACTTTGCCCGCGCCTGTCCCTTCTCCGAGGACGGAATTATCACTCCGGAAAGGGATGCTACGGCCACAGGCAAGCGGCCAGGTCTTCAGGTGCAACAGAAGGTACACACACACCCACACGAACACACCCACAGATACTCTAATTTCAGAAACTTTAGGTGCTCAAAACTTTAGGTATGAGGCCAAAAGACCATGTTAGGTGAGCAGTAATTTCAGGCACAGAGGAGCAGTTCCCTATTGGATGATGCACGTCAGTGTTTGTGCAGCTATTAAAATATTAGGTATGAAAAAGATGCACCGAAAGTACTGAATATAAAAGTACACCGAACATTTGTGAAATTACAGTACTAGTACGTGGCGTTGTGTCAGTTTCTATTTCCATTTTACCCAAATGCTGTAGACAGCAAGCTGTTTTGGTCATATACCGTAGTGACGCACATAAAGGCACATGCGCTTATGAGTGAGTTTTTGCGTTATTTTGTTATTTTTCGCGGGTCGTTTTGTCTCACACATAGGCGCATGCGCTTGAGTTGCCAGTGTACCGGTCGGTACCTTGCATAATTATGCATATAGTGCAATACCGCAATACCGCAATGCACATTGAACTATGTGAACATGGTGTTTTGTAGTGTCTGTGTGTCGCGGGATGAACTGCATTTAGGTTCACTTATAAGCCCGTGCGCTTATTTGTGAGGGTGCGCTTATGCCCGGATATAGGCACATGACTGATTGTGCTTATATGCGCGTCACTACGGCAGATCCATTTTAAATAAGAGACGCATGAGACACATGTTATCGCATGAGCTGATTGTAAAGTAACCGGTGGTGTTAGTGGACATTACAGCGTAACTTGTAGTTCCTTGGTCCTCTTTTCTTCTTTATATAGACACATGAATGATTTTTTCATTAGTTAAAACTATACTCCTCGTAGTGTATTGTTGACCAACCAGATTATAATCAACAAACGAATTTCATTTCTAGAACAAATTGGAAGGGTCTCCAATTCTTCAATGCAGTACATGCGTCTGCGCAATCCACACCAGTCCAAATGAACACTAAGAGATTTTAGAAGTTAGAACCGAACGTTTTCCTGTCCCCGGGGAAAATTGCGATTCCGCGGCCGCGTTTTTTTCCGCGTTTTTTTGCGATTTTTTAAAAGACCGCGTTTTCCGCGATTTTCCCGCGTTTTTTGAACTTTTTTGTTGCACTACACGTACACACATGCACAGTGCACTGTTCGGTCAGCAACGTCTCATCGTGGCGGCTTTTTACTCAAATATGACGAGTGCTTACACCAGAGACTTGTAACTGGTTGATTTCACTACATACTCACTGAAAATTGCCGCACATCAATATTATTATTATTATTATTAGAAAGGAAAAGGACATAATATTATGGAAACGAGTTAAGAGTAACTCTCCACCATAATATTATGTCCTTTTCCTTTCTACTTTTATTATTGGCTCAATACCCGAGTTTCAAATTATTATTATTATTATTAATTCAACATCTCCTGGCTCGTCAGAAGACTGCCAATATATATGAGAAGTCGGGTGGTAGCCAACCACGGCGAACTGAATAATAAGTTCACCGCATATTTACCGCAAATTATGCCATATTATGCCGCGTTTTCCCCGCGTTTTTTGCAATTTTTTTCCGCAATTTTCCCCGGGGACAGGTTTTCGTTCCCTTTTCTTCACCGGCTCTTACAGGGAAAACAGCAAAATGACTAAAACAGCAATAAACAAGGCCGATCTAGGAAGCTCGAGGTAGAGTGCTCAATGCACGAATGTACAGAGCAGTATACACACACAACAGACGTGAATGCTGTTGTCTGATGATCGCTGAAATGCCTGAAACTTGAAGTTACAGCTCCACAGCGTTTCGCCTCTGTTGTGTGTGTATAAAACAGCAATATAAAGGCAAAGAATTGAGAGAGATAAGCATCACTCTACTCGTGTGAAAAGTCATCAAGTCAAAAACAGCATGAAAATCAAATAATAATACTAACACATCAAACTTATCAAACGGAAAGATTAGTCTTAATCTTAGCAATCACATGTGGACTAACACCGAACAACTGGAGGGACAAAACATTTCCCTTCTGAACACACATTTCCGCTTGATACGTTTGATGTGTTACTGTTAGTATTATTATTTGATTTTCATGCTGTTTTTGACTTGATGACTTTTCACACTTGTAGCGTCATGTCATCTCTCTCAATTCTTTGCCTTTATACTTGCTGTTTTAGTCATTTTTGTTTTGTTCCCTGTATATTAAAAATGAAATTATTTGTGCGGCTTTGGCTGCACCTGCCGTACCGGTTCTGATTTGCCATGCAGTGAGATAGTGTACAGTAGGACATTTCAGAGTGGCACTGACACTATGGTTCATAATTGAGAGAAGAACAGCTCACTGCAGCTAAGTCAGAGGGCTCCAGATGTGAGAATCACAGCGAGCTTTGCACGAAGGTCGATAACATTGACACTAACCAGAAGAAACATATTCTGAATCCACGTGCCGGGCAGAATATGGACTGGTGTATTGGACAGCGTACGTGTACAGTATTTACCCATGTTCATGTGCAGCATAGTGTGTACTAGTGTGTGTGTGTGTGTGTGTGTACTTGTGTGTGTGTGTGTGTGTCTGTGTCTGTGTCTGTGTCTGTGTCTGTGTGGGGGGGGGGGGGGGAGTTATCTGGCGCTAGTCTTGATCTGTCTCATTCAGATCTTGTCTGCTATCGTTGCTATAAGAGGAAATCTGTGGGTGCACATCCAGTGTATTTGCAGATTTGCGTGCTTCTCTTGGGACGGGCGTATACATGGTACATGGTGTGTGTGTGTGTGTGTGTGTGTGTGTGTGTGTGTGTGTGTGTGTGTGTGTGTGAAAAGTTTCCTTCGTTTTTGACTTGTCACATGCTTGCTGAATGCAGCAGTCGTTCTCGATTAGTCCCGCACTCAGTCCACAGTACAGCGTGACTTATTGTGAATATGTGGCGTACAAATACTGTATTTCTACACATAAGACATGTTGCCCCGTTTGCAAAGGCGCTTGATTTATCACGAATGCATGACTTTATCGCGAGTAGTCTGTACGTGGTGCGTGCATTTATTGCCCGTTCCATCGCCTGCTCAGTCTGGATATATTGGTGGACTGCAGTCCTCACTTTCTTCTTTCCTCTCGAATTACCGTTATGTGGGCTCACTCTCTTGAGTGAAGAGATGTTCAGATACAACCGCGTGCTGTTTTGACTAGTGCACGGGCAGTGAAATTCAGTTGCTTGATATTTTTGCAGCGGCGGGGCAGGCTAGAGGGTTTTGTCCTCCACTGCACTGAGAACATGTACTATTAGCTGTCGTAAGAGCTATCTAACTGTCATGTTGTGTTTTGCTTTGAAACTTATTTTCTAGTTTGTCTTTTTTCTCGTTTATTTTTTGCTGGCCCTGGTTTTATGCAGCACCATGGGGTGAGACGGAATTGGACAATCGTGCCGCCCACGCCAACATTCTTCGTCTGGCGACCGCATACCGTGACCATGGACACCGCTATGCGCACATCAACCCACTGCGCAGTGCAGAGGACGTGCCCAGGTGGGTGTTCGTTACGGAATCGTATCGATTTTGATTGTTTTGGATTGATAAACTCCTCCTGTCAATCCTCGTGCTGTCTTGTTCTGGTGCATTGTAGCTTGACAAAATTGGAGCTGGGAGATAGGAAATTTGATTTGAAATCTTCGAGAAAGTTGGATTTATGAGAGTTTCGGACTAGCTGCTTGAAATTCTGATGGTGAAGCGATCAGGCTTTGAAAACCTTTGACTTCCAAAGCCAGGCCAGACCAGTTGAACAAGGTTGCCCACTGGCAGTCACATTATTCCGTGTCATGCAAAAAGCATGTTCTGTTCGACTAACTTGTGGCTTTTCAAATGAACTTGACAAGAGAGATTGGAAGCTTTGTCACACCTCTGAGTTTAACGTATTACTACGATCATCAGGCAACGTGAAACTCAGAGTTGTGACAACGCTTCCAATCTCTCTTGGTACAAGGCTCTGCCCTACATGGGTATTAAGCACTCTTCGGACAGTGAAGCACACCACTTGACTATTTGACAATTTATCAATTTCCACTGAGTCTGAACTGTAGCACCAGTGCCGGACAGGGAGTAGATATTTTATTACTCCCCGGTGTCTAACCTGCCCAGGCTAGGGTGTTGAGATGTGCCGTTGTGTTTTCTTGAAGTTTTTCTTCTTCTTTCTTTCGTTGTTTTCGCAATCTTATCGCGATGTGTATTCGTTTGATGCTGTGTTTGTTGCAGTGACCGGCCCGAGCTCAGTACGGATGCTTTCCGAGTTTCACCCACTGACAAGTTCCCTGCAGCCGGTTAGTACATTTGCGCTCGGTGAAATCTGACCCAGAGTGCAAAGCTGGCGCCCTGGACTAGTTCCGATTGCATCGTCACGTCCAGCCGCATTCGTGTCACTTCCAGGGCATCAAGGGCGTGTAGTTGAAGGCGCCAAATATGCACTCTAGGTCGGATTTCACTGAACGCAACTACCGCAATGCCGTGTATAAAAGCAGGTGCTCACGGTATAAGCCGGGGTTCAAACAATGCTTCTATTCAAGTTATGCTTCTATTCAAAAACATGCTTCTACGTCAACATCATCAGTCTACACTGTGCAGTGCATGCTGCCATGCATGTATTGTGCAAGTACGTGCACATGCATTTTTGCAAAGAGCGCCTTCTAGTCTAATCGTGCTTCTGTGTCACGGCGCTTCGAAAAACCGGCTTCTATTCGAGTCATGCTTCTATACAGGTCATGCTTTCATGCGCAACACTGCAGTATGTACATATCCGTGGTAATGCACAGAGTATCCATTTATTATTAGTACCGGTCTCCTTTTGTCTCCTCATCGGCTCTTCATTAGTACCGGTAGTGGCATTTTGTCCTGGGTCAGGAATGTCGTCTGCAACTGAAATCTGGAACACATCTCTGCCGCCGCGACCGGGAATGTGTCAACGGAATTATAGACTCTTTGCATGTATGGAGCCACAACTGCACTCTCGAGGGTGAATGGCACAGTTGGGAGCAGGAGGCGAGGCTTTCTGTGAGCGCATGATACTCAGGCAACCGTCTGCACACGTGCAGTTGCAATTTGCGTGACGCTGACACTGTTCTTCTCCAAATACCCTGAAGAAGAATGCAGGGGTGGATTCAGGGGGTTTCCGGGGGTTGGAACCCCCTAAATTTCGCAGATGTACTTCTGGAAACCGTATGCATGTACAAGCACATGTATTAGCTATTCAGTTTTGGCTGCACTGGAACCCCCCTGTAGAGATCTCTGGGTCCACCCCTGTAATGTCACTGGCTTGGGGCAGTCTATTGCTCACCGCTGCAGGTACGAGTAATCGTTTCTGTCCTCTCCCTGCAGGCATTGTCCACAGCGCACCGTCGGACAGCACCATGCTGGATGTTGAGGAGATGGAAGCCACCCTCCAGTCACTCTACTGTGGATCTATAAGTGTGGAGACGCAGCACATGCCTGTAAGCCGCGAACGGAATCATGCGGCACAGACTCAGGGCCTAGCAGGGGGAAAAGGGGCTGAGGTTTTTTAAATTAGTTTCTTAGTTTTGCTTCAGTGCATGCACAATGTTTAGACCGTGCAATTGATGGAATGATCCAGACACTGGGAGTCTAGATAAGGGAAGTGTGAATGTACTTCATTGCTGTTCTGTGTACTGCGTAGCTTAGTTTTACTATTTATATTGAGTATTTTGAAGGGCTTAGCATCCCAAGCAACCTTTATGCTAGGTCTCTTCTTTTCTACTTTCTGGGACAGCTGGCTGTGTGCAGGTTCTAAATCATTTTCCTGTCGTATCTTGCTCCTGTTGCTGTGTTGTGCAGAACGAGGCTGAGCGCGAGTGGTTTGTGCGCGAGTACGAATCTCGGCGGCTCGCTCCTATCAGCGACGATTGTCGCCAGCAGCTGGCAGAAATCATGCTCAAATCTCAGGTAACTTATGCTCTTTCTTTTGTATGGATCAATTCACCGTGAGGTGTATGTTCACTAACCATGCATCGACTAGGCGCCATGTGCGGACTAATGGTGGTGGCGGTGGTGGTGAGAAGGAGAGCTCTGTGCCAGGGTAACTTTGCAGCTTTAAGAGAGCGTGTGTGGGCAGGACGTGTATTTATCGCCGTATTGCCAGGTGTGTATTTACCACCATATGAATCAACCATGTATGTTCCTGGTAGAGGATAAGTCCAAGACAATAACAGCACCAGTACTGTTGGAACGTTCTCCATTTTTTAGTGTTTGTCTTCGTTTAACATGTATATTACTCAGTATGTCGTAATTGGACACTGCTCGATTATTCTTACCTCGTGCGTTTCGTGACTATTTGTAACGTGGCTCCTCTGCTTCAGTTTTCGTTCTATCTCTCTGGCAGGGGCAACCACCACCCGTCTGGTGGGTGCCAGCATCCTCCGGCAGTTGCGCTGGGACTCTACGATACATTCTTGTTCTTCGATAATTAGAAATCTGCCTTTCTAGTTCTTCGCTGTTTGAATTATTATTTATTTGTGTTGTTTCTTGCGGCACTCGCTTTTGTGTAGATTTGACCTTTTTGCATGTCCGCGTGAGTACAGATGACATCATGCATTATTTTCTGTCACGTGTTTTGCTTTGAGCGTGTCGTTCAAGATGTTTGAACTGCGCCCGCTGGCCGATTTTCTTTGCTTGCTGTTTTCTTTGCCAGTCAAGCGTGGGGACGCTACGGTGTCGTCCTTCTTGGCTGTGTGTCCGGTACGGGGCCGGGTACGTGCGTCCCCAGCTCTCCGTTCTTTGTTCTTTTTGAGTTGATTCTTCAATGGTGTTTTGAGAACATGTTTGGTAATACAGTCTTCTAAATAGTTCGATGCTTCCAATGGTTGTGTCTGATGCAAGTGTGGGTTTGCGAGGGAACCGGTGAACCATTTGGTCCTTCGAGCCGGATCCGACAGGTTTCGAGAACTTTCGACTAGTAGTGTCAGCGGTGGTAATGGCGTTTCCGCCACCACCAGAGTTTGTGACTCGTAGTTTTACGCCACGCCATTATGGTACGAGCGTGGGTGAAACTCCTGTTGAGGAACTTGAGGACCGCTGGAAAGAGTTGATTCGTCGGAGAACAAACCTCCGTAGACGCCACACGCGGATCAGTAACCGCTTGCGAACTCTGATTGCTTGCTCGTCGCCGTCTCGCCGATATTTGCAGCCTGATGTCCGTGAATTAGAATTTGTACGGTCAGAGCTGAATTCGGTTTTAGAAATTATGCGCAGCATGTTGGAATCCCAAGAGAGTGAGCAACTGCTGAATGAGTTGGACGAGTGGGAGGCGAAGTTTGATAAGGAGAGTGTTGGTGTGATGGCTGCTGCTGAGGCGATCTTGGATTCGCCTGTTGAGTCGGTTTCTGGCCAAGTGGCATCAGGCCAACAATCAGCAGTCGCAGAACAGGTTACCCCTGTGCCACCGTCAACACCACCGCACATGCGGCCTGTGCCACCTCTACCAGCACCACGCACACGGCCAACACCACCACCAAAGCCAAGTAGTCTGAGCAGCAGACTAAGTGTGACGTCAGTTGGTTATAGTGCTCCTGCCAGTAGACTTTCTGAGTGGTCTCCTCTAACGGAATCTGCTGTCGACCCCCATGTTAGCGATTGGCTTGCCAGTATGCAACGGCCACATGGAGTAAGCGCTTTTCACCATCTGAAGCCACTAGAGCTGCCCAAATTTAGTGGCAGGACCCAGCAGTTTGTACGGTGGAAACAAACATTTAAGCGCCTCGTGGACGAGGACCGCTTCGTCTCTGACGAATATAAACTGGCACGACTGAAGGAGGCGCTGCAGGGTAGCTCGGCCGAAGACATTATCGCGGATATGTTCGACGGTCCGGGTGCATACACTGCAGCCTGGACGGAGCTTGAGCGCTGGTTTGGTGGTTCCGACCGCCATCTTGCCTTGCAAGAGAGAGAGATTCTGAATCACCCACGCATTGCCTCTGACAGGGACACCGAGTCTGTCCGGAAGTTTGCTGTCAAGCTCAGAAATGTGCTCATGAACCTGGACTTGGCTGGAGAGACCCCTGGTAGGGAGCTATTCCTAAGTGCGCTGGAGAAGCTACCCAGAAGTGTAGTTATACGATTTTACGAACAACATCCAGACAGCAAATGCAACGCAACCACGTTGTCGTTCTGGCTGGTAAAACGGGTCCAGAACGCTAAGCGAGCCGATGACATCTTGGCGACAGTCGGCACAGAGAAGTTGAACAAGACACCTCCTGCGGTCCCGCCAAAGCCTAGGTCATCTGCTGTGTATGCTGTGGAGCTCAGTACTCAGCAGTGTGCCAAGTGCAGCAAGAGCCATGCCACAGCAGAGTGTCCGGAATTCAGGGCGCTGACAACCAAGCGCCGCTGGGACCTGGTCAAGCGTGCCAAGCTGTGTAGCTGTTGTTTGGAGCATGGACACTGGGCGCGTGAGTGCCAGAAGCTGGAACGTTGCCACTGTGGAGAGAGGCACCACTCACTTCTGCACTACAGCAAGTCAGTGCAGCCACAAGCTGCAGCGCAGAATCCAGCTACGATGCGACCAGCAGCTACGGCACCTCGGCAGGAAAGTTCTCACCATGCTAGTGTCAGCGTGCCGCAGACTACCGCTTTCGCTACCGTGCCAGTGAAGATTATTGGCCCAACTGGCAAGTCGGCAATCTGTACGGCCATGCTGGACTCAGGCTCGACTGCAAGCTTCATACGGGAGGATGTAGCCCATGAGTTGGGCATGGCAGGTGAAGTTCACATGTTGAATACATCCACGATTGGTGCGCAGCAGACCTCCGGCTATCGGGAACTGGTCAAGGTGCAGATGGAATCCATTGATGGAACAGTGTCATACCCGCTCAAGGCATGGGTATATGATCGTGTGACCAAGAAGACGCAGGTCGTCGACTGGAGCCGGTACAAGTCCAGCTATGAACATCTGAAGTTCATAGACTTTCCCGAAATCTCCAGCACCACGGTCGACCTCCTGATTGGTCTAGACGTCATTGATGCCCACGCATCACTCGCGGAGTACAGAAGCAGCAGCGGTGGACCAATTGCCCGCAAGACGCCACTGGGATGGGTGTGTATGGGCCCAACGCCCAGTGCACCCAGTGATGACGAGTTGTCTGTCAACTTCGTGCATGCTTTATACGGCGAATGCAGCATAGACAGCCTGGTCCAGAATTTCTGGAATCTGGAGGCAGTCGGTATGAAGCACGAAGGCACCTACATCACCCCTGCAGAGAAGCTGGCTGAGGAGATCGTTGAGAAATCCATCAGCTTCCATGATCAGCGAGTCACCATGGCAATCCCATGGGTCCACAGCAACGGCGAGCCTGGTGTCACCGCTAATCGCGCCATGGCGGACCATCGCCTGCGCATGCTAGAGAAATCGCTGGACAAGCGTCCAGAGCTGAAGGCAGCATACGGCAAGGTCATCCGTAGCCACATTGACAAAGGCTATGTGCGCGCAGTGTCGGCAGCAGAGGTTGAGGCAGATGGCGACGACCAGTGGTTCCTGCCGCACTTCGCCATTGTACGAGACGACAAGGCCACCACGAAGGTACGTGTCGTCTTTGATGCTGCTGCCAAGTATGACGGCACGTCGATCAATGAGTGTATGTACCCTGGACCCGCTCTGCAGAATGACCTAGTGAAAGTGCTTCTGCGGTTCTGCAAGGAGCCAGTAGCGCTCACGGCGGACATTACCGAGATGTTCCTGCAAGTCGTGCTGGCTGAGCAAGACCGCCGATATCATCGCTTTGTGTGGGACTCACGCGTATACGAGTTCCAGAGGTTGGTGTTCGGCATCAAGGCGTCTCCGTACCTGGCATGCAAGGCGCTACAAGTGGTGTGCCGCGAGACAGCCGACAAGTATGACCCAGCCATGTTGCAGATCGTTGACCGAGACATGTATGTGGATGATCTGCTGCACTCTGCTGTCTCCGTACCGGAAGCCATCCGCACACAGCAGACAGTACAGGACATCCTTGAGCAGGGCAGCTTCCACCTCCGCAAGTGGCTCAGCAATAGCTCGGAGGTGATGGACGGCGTACCGGAAGCTGACCGCTCACCGCAACTCGTAGCTAGCATCAATGATCATGATCACTGTGCGCTACCATCAGTCAAGACGCTAGGCGTGATGTGGTCGGCAGAGGATGATACCTTCGCCTTTGAGTTCAAGCCGCCCGCAACAGAGAAGCTGACCAAGCGAGCCGTGCTGAGTAAGATGGCATCTATATTCGACCCACGCGGACAACTAGCTCCCTTCACGATTCGCTCTCGTGTCATGTTCCAGGAGCTGTGCATCCTCGGCGTGGGCTGGGATGATCCACTGGACGCTGAGCACACGCGGAGATGGACATCCTGGTTTAGCGAGCTGGGAGATCTGGCGCTGATCCGTGCGCCGCGCTGCTTCAAGTGTCCGGGTCGCGAGTCGTCTGTCGCTACATTGTCGCTGCACGTGTTCACGGATGCTTCAGATGCCGCCTACGCCGCTAACGTGTACGTCCGTGCTGAGTACCCAGACGGCAATGTGCGAGTGACGCTAGCACTCGCCAAGGCGCGTCCATGTCCCATTAAGAAGATGTCGATCCCGAAGCTGGAGCTGAAGGGTGCTGTGCTTGGTGTTTGCCTGGCCAAGACAGTGAATGACGCGCTAGATCTGCCGCAGGCTGATGCCACCTACTGGTCCGACTCGATGAACGTGCTTCACTGGGTGAGAGCACATTCCAGAAAGTTTAAAGTCGACGTGGGCAACCGGATAGCTGAAGTACAAGAGTATTCAGCTGGCAGCCAGTGGAACCACGTTCCTGGAAAGCTGAACCCAGCCGACAAGGGCACCAGAGGCTTGACAGCAGCCCAGCTAGCCAGTGATTCAGTATGGTGGAACGGCCCTGAGTTCCTCGTCCAGCAGCACACTGAGTGGCCGTCTCGTCAGATAACCGTGCCAAAAGAGTTGCCTGGAATGGTAAAGCGAGCGCAAGTGATGGCGTTCGCTGTGCAGCAAGTGTCAGCGGAGGTGTTTCGTCTCCACCCCGACAACTACTCGTCATGGAAACGACTAGTAAGAGTGACGGCCTGGTGCTACCGTTTCATCAACCGGTGTCGTCGACGTCATGCTAGCACGAGAGGGGATCCGGAAGCAGCGAGTGCAGCAGTCGACTCTGTGGAGCTGAAGTCTGATGAGCTCCAGCGTGCCGAATGTCACTGGTATGCGATCGCACAAGCAGAGAGCTATCCCGCTTCGTATCGGCAGCTGACGTCAGGGAAGTCCCTTGCAGCGAATGACCCGCTGCTGCGGCTGAATCCAGTGCTCGACAAGGATTACCCGTGTGTGCTACGCGTTGGAGGTCGTCTGAAGACTGCCAGCCACTTGCCTGAGCATACCCGGCATCCGATAATCTTGCCACAGCACCATCGGATTACTCAGCTGATAGTCGACGCCGAAGATCGCAAGTGTGATCACAGTGTTGGCCCAAACCACCTCTTGGCAAACCTGATGCTGCGGTTTTGGATCATCCGTGGCAAGGTTGTCACACGATCTCACCGTGCACACTGCGTGCTCTGCAAGAAGAAGTGGGCCACTGTGGCTTCGCAGCAGATAGCACCGCTCCCGCTATTCCGAACAGCTCCACCGTACCGGGCATTTTCAAGAGTGGGAGTTGACTATGCCGGTCCGTTCCGAACAAAACAAGGACGTGGCAAGACCCAGCTCAAGAGGTACCTCTGTGTCTTCTCTTGTTTGCAATCTCGAGCCTGTCATTTCGAGATGGCGTATGGCCTGGACACCGAGTCGTTTCTGCTAGCATTCACCCGTTTCTGCAAGCGCAGAGGCGTGCCAGCTGAGGTCGTGTCAGACAACGGGACGAACTTTGTCGGTGCAGAGCGCGAGCTAAGAGAAGCCGTTCAAGCGCTAGGTTCTGATGAAGTGGCCGCAAGTATGGCCAGCCAAGGAGTTCACTGGCGCTTCAATCCGCCTCTCGCTCCGCACTTTGGCGGCGTATTTGAGTGTGTGGTCAAGGCAGCAAAGCGCGCAATGATGGCAACTCTGTCCCAGGCCAATCTCACTGATGAGGAACTTGTAACTGCCATGGTGAGTGCGGAAGGCCTGCTCAACTCGCGTCCGTTGACCGCTGTCCGGACCGACGTGGATGACGCCGCACCGCTAACACCGATGCACTTCCTAGCTGGACAGTGCGAGCTGACTCTGCCACTCGAAGAAGTCGCTGAGTTGCACCCACAGCGTCGTTGGCGGCTCCTCCAACAGCTCCTACGTGAGGTATGGCGGCGATGGCTTCGAGAAATAGTGCCTCGGCTGAATGTGCTTCAGCGATGGTCTCGACGCAGCCGCAACATCAAGCCCGGTGACATTGTCCTCTGCATGGACAAGTCTACTCCAAGAGGGCGTTGGCCGCTAGCCAAAGTGATAGAAGTGTTCCCCGGATCTGATGGGTTGGTCCGTGTAGTGAACATCAGAATTGGCGCCAAGCAGTCCAAGCGGCCGATAACGCAGTTGGTGCCGTTGGAAGTTGAACCCATCGATGAAGGTACCGGTCAGTATGATGATCTCACGACTTCCGATTAGTCTGGAGTCGTTCGTGAGAGGGGAAATGTTGGAACGTTCTCCATTTTTTAGTGTTTGTCTTCGTTTAACATGTATATTACTCAGTATGTCGTAATTGGACACTGCTCGATTATTCTTACCTCGTGCGTTTCGTGACTATTTGTAACGTGGCTCCTCTGCTTCAGTTTTCGTTCTATCTCTCTGGCAGGGGCAACCACCACCCGTCTGGTGGGTGCCAGCATCCTCCGGCAGTTGCGCTGGGACTCTACGATACATTCTTGTTCTTCGATAATTAGAAATCTGCCTTTCTAGTTCTTCGCTGTTTGAATTATTATTTATTTGTGTTGTTTCTTGCGGCACTCGCTTTTGTGTAGATTTGACCTTTTTGCATGTCCGCGTGAGTACAGATGACATCATGCATTATTTTCTGTCACGTGTTTTGCTTTGAGCGTGTCGTTCAAGATGTTTGAACTGCGCCCGCTGGCCGATTTTCTTTGCTTGCTGTTTTCTTTGCCAGTCAAGCGTGGGGACGCTACGGTGTCGTCCTTCTTGGCTGTGTGTCCGGTACGGGGCCGGGTACGTGCGTCCCCAGCTCTCCGTTCTTTGTTCTTTTTGAGTTGATTCTTCAATGGTGTTTTGAGAACATGTTTGGTAATACAGTCTTCTAAATAGTTCGATGCTTCCAATGGTTGTGTCTGATGCAAGTGTGGGTTTGCGAGGGAACCGGTGAACCAAGTACCATCCAGTGCCGTCGCATACCCCCTCCCCATCCTACTTTTCGAGCTGTTATATTTTTTGGTCGAGTCGAATGGGGAAATTTGTTGACTCGTTGCTTGGATGTATTGTTTCCATGTTCCTGCTTTTTTGAGCATTTAAAATTGACTGCATGAAGCGCCGATACAATTGCAACAGCTTGCTACTGGCTAGCTGTGGGTATTTATTGTCTCTATTGCTCCTGTTTCTAGGCCTTTGATCAGTTTATGACTAAGCGTTACAGCACGGTGAAGCGCTATAGCGGTGAAGGTGCGGAGGGTATGCTCTGCTTCGTCGATCAGCTTGTGTCGTCGTGTGCTGGCGGTAAGCGTAGGCAAATCTTGCCTTTGAAAAGATTTAAAGATCACCTGTTACCCTTGTATCCGAGTGTTTGTCCTTTGTTCACCCACTGGTCTGTAGAACAGTCTAATGGATGGAGAGTGTGGCTTCTTGTGGCTTTTGCCATTGACAAGTATTGGGGAATTGTGCTTGTGATGTTTGTGATGTTCCGGTCACATTGGCCGGCCAAGAACGCAGCATGGCGTGGTTAACTTATTAAAGCTTTTCAGTTCTGTCCGCAACCTTTTTCAAAGTAAAAGTTAGATAATGTCGAGCATTTCAACTTGCTGGTGAAAGCTTGCTGGTTGTTTTTTTTTCTTACTTCGATTACCTAGTATGTGCCATTGCATTCACGTGCGTTCATTCAACTTCATTGCACTCCAATAGTCTTTTTTGTTCATTTCCCTGTGCACAGAGGGCATTGAGCAGGTTGTGATTGGCATGCCTCACCGCGGACGTCTCAATCTGATGACTGGCATGCTCAAGTACTCTCCACAGGCCATGTTCCATAAGGTAAGCCTTTTTTTTTAAAGATAAAGCAATATTGCCCACATGCACACAGCTTTATTCCCCAAAGGACATTTCTTAGTAGCCTCATACTCTAAGCGAAATTCCCATAAATTCCGTAAAATTGTGAAGTTTTGTTTAAAAAATTGTGAGTTTTGCTAGGTAGTTCTAAGAGTATTAGTAGATGGAACTAAACTTGGTTTTGAGGAAAGCTAGAAACAAAATGTGATCTATTTGACCGTGCATATGATTGTATCTAGTGCTTGGTTTTTGTGGTGATATTGGCTGGTGCTGGTCTGTTGGATGTAATGGCCAACATCTACCAATTCTATGTCCCTTCCGAGCCTGTGCAGCGTATCTGGCGAAGTGAACTCATGTTAGGAAGACAAATGTGCCTCCAATCGTTGCGTGCATGGTAACATTGAGGATTCCTCCTCACCAAGAAAGAGTTGCATTCCGTGCTCACTTGACTGGTATCGTTTCCTTGTCCGCTTTAGCTGTGGTGTTTGAGTTGTCCTGCTTATGTCGTTGTTGTTGTTGTTTGTTCTGCAGCTTGCTGGCAACTCACTGCTGCCCGAGGGTACGCAAGGAGAGGAGGATGTGCTCATGCACTTATGTGAGTTTGTGTTCCCTCGTGATCATCGGCGATGCAGTTGTCTTTATCCTTGTCAGCAGGCTCTTCCGGTCTATCTCTCTCATATACGCCCCCCCCCCCCTCCCCCTCCCTCTCCCTCTCTCTATCTCTCTCTCTTTCTCTCTCTATCTCCCTCTCTCTCTCTCTCTCTCTCTCTCTCTCTCTCTCTCTCTCTCTCTCTCTCTCTCTCTCTCTCTCTCTCTCTCTCTCTCTCTCTCTCTCTCTCTCTCTCTCTCTCTCTCTCTCTCTCTCTCTCTCTCTCTCTCTCTCTCTCTCTCTCTCTCTCTCTCTCTCTCTCTCTCTCTCTCTCTCTCTCTCTCTCTCTCTCTCTCTCTCTCTCTCTCTGTCTGTCTGTCTGTCTGTCTGTCTGTCTGTCTCTCTCTCTCTCTCTCTCTCTCTCTCTCTCTCTCTCTCTCTCTCTCTCTCTCTCTCCGACTCCATCACACTCCACCGAGTCTCTCTCCCCTTGCCTTTGTTTGTCCCTTGTTACCGCTAGTATCGGGCAGGTCTAGCAGCACGGTGTTCAATGTAGGTGTAGGTGTGGAGACCAGCATAGTGCACGTTGAAGTTGACCGTGCAGACCGTGTCTTCACAACCCGTCACACCTGTAAAACTCACACAATCATCCGCTTGTTCACTAGTTGAGGGAATGGGAAAGGGAAAAGTCTGAAGACAAAATTGACTGTCACCACCAGTACTCGAACCAGGGACCTTCGATTGAGACCAGCGATGCTGAGCTTCGGCGTAGCTGTCATCCAAGCAGAGACCGTTCAACATCTTCTTCAGACTTTGAAACTCATCCTTTTTTGTCATGTTTCTCTTGAGGTCAAGTCCTTTCCTTGTGCACGGCTGGTCTGTCAACATTTATATGGTCATTGCACTGCAAGCAAGTCCACATCGACGTTGACAATGTGCACTAGTTTCCTCATGTCAAACATTCTCCGTCTAGATCTGGTATTGAACCAACAGGCATGAGGACATTGGTGTCCAGTATCATGCCTAACCTATGTAGTATTGTCACCGCCATACCACCGTAATTAGCTCTCCACGTACACCATTGTACACCAGCGTGCACCGTACACCAGCATACACCACCGTCCACTGTACACCATACCCCATGGTGTTCTTCTACTGCCGTACTACTGTTTTTTAAACATGTCAACCAATGATGTGCAGTAGCATGCTATTGTGTGTTCTCTCAGGTAGGTTTTTCTGAACTGTGACAGGTGTTAAGGCATTCCTGCTCGTGTTTGCATCTTGCTGAGTGTACTCGTACTCTGGGCGTAGTGTGTGATTGAACACCGAATTGTTCGTTTGACTTGTGTGTTGTTTCTGTGTGTGTAGATGCCAACGTGGATGTAGCTGCGTCCAATGGTGCAGGCTCTGTCAATGTCACTCTCCTCCCCAACCCATCGCATTTGGAGGTGAGTCAGTGTAGTGCTGAGAAAGAGAGAGACAGAGAGAGACAGACACACACACACACAGAGAGAGAGAGAGAGAGAGAGAGAGAGAGAGAGAGAGAGAATGGGGGGGGGGGGGGCGGACAGATGGACAAACGGACAAGCAGACGGGCAGTTGTGGATAGCCGAACCACACAGCACTAACAGGAGCAAGATTACATTTGATACCAACGAATTCATGTACGGATATCTTAACATCTGTATCTAAGCTTGCTCCTGTTGTCACGTGTGGTTTGGCTCTCTACTGCCAAACTACCAGTCCAGCTCTTCATCATCGGCAATTGTTGCAATGTACCTTGTTTGAGGTTACAGTGACAAACTCATGCTTGTCAGGTATATAGCACCCCAGGAGGCCAACAGTCTGATTTCGGAATATTTGTGGAAACTCAAATGAGCTACATGTACTTGGACATGAGGAGATCTGCAACCAACTCTCAACGGATGAACAATCAAGACTACAACTCCTGCACGTTCAGCCCACACATGCACGCAAGACGAGAGGCAATTACGGAAATATCAGAACCCTGGAAAACAATTGATTGTTCTACAGCAGTCTTCTGTGTGTGTGTGTGTGTGTGTGTGTGTGTGTGTGTGTGTGTGTGTGTGTGTGTGTGTTTGTGTTTGTGTCTGTGTGTGTGTGTGTGTGTGTGTGTGTGTGTTTGTGTTTGTGTCTGTGTGTGTGTGTGTGTGTGTGTGTGTGTGTGTGTGTGTGTGCGTGTGTGTGTTTGTATGTGTGTGTGTGTGTGTCCGTCTGTGTCTGTGTCTGTGTGTGCATGTGTGTGTGCACGCGCGTGTATGTGTGTGCATGTGTGTGCATGCTTTTTTTGTTTATTTGGTCATATGACTGTCTGAACAGGCCGTTAACCCGGTGGCGTGTGGTGTGGCCAGGTCACGGGAGCAGCAGATGTCTGCAGGCCATTACAGTCAGGAGAGCGACGTGTCCTTGTCTGGTGATAAGGTTAGCCAAGGCCATGTTGACACTGCTGCCACTGCTTGCTGCCGTTCATTGCTCATTGTTCTCTGCTTTGCTGCTTCCCGACTTCTTATTAGGGAGGTTCTGCTATACGTGAAACGTAGAGAAATCACGTAGAGAGCAGGTGTCTGGGTTAGAGTCTACGGCTTCGCGTGTTTTGGCTCCAGATTTCTACGCGGAGATGGGGTTCTCTACGTTGTGGCACACGCAGAGAAAATGCGTACGGATTTGCTGGGTATCGTTCAACTGCATGCAGAAAACTGCCAAATATGGAAGGGGAAATTCTTAGTACACATTCCACGTGACTTCTCTAGGTGAAACGTAGAGCAGAACAGCATTTCTTTACGTTACGGGAACGCGAAGAAAGTTCGCGTGATTCTTTGCGTCGCGTTCCCAAAACGTACAGCAGAACCTCCCTAGTGTTGTTGTCTGTGTTGCTGTGTATGGCGAGGTCTAGCATTGGCATGACTTGGGTCATAGATTTTTGGCTCAATAGCAGCATGTACATGAACATGTATGTTAGATCTTGAATGATAGGATTAGAGGACAAGACTCGATGATGGACCTCCTAACAGTATCGCAACACTTGAAATTGCACAGTCTGCCTCTACTGGTCCGGAGTATGTAATCGTGTCCCGGCCTACTGTGTATTTGTGATGTTACATTGCCGCAGCAATTTTGTGTGTGCGTGTGTGTGTGTGCATGTGCGCACGCGCGCGCGCGTGTGTGTGTGTGTGTGTATGTATGTGCATGTGCTGTTGTTTTCCTCTTAGGTTCTTTGTTTCCTAGTTCATGGCGATGCAGCGTGCGTTGCTCAGGTAATCACAAATTCAATTTTTTTCGAAAATCTTGAAATTAGTTTTGGATGCAGGTAGCCAGGTACAGATGCCCGTGAGTTCCATAAACTTGGGCCGCATAACGTAAGTCAGATACGGAAACCAGTAATTTTCTTACTTCAGCCCAGTCATGATAGTTTTCCATGCATCGGCGCATGCCATGGCGCACGCCCAGGATCCCATGTGCAGTGTTACGCTACGGCTATGGCACACTTCATATCCAAAAGGGACCGTATTTTCCGCAGTATAGGCCGCACTGGAGTAGAAGCTGTATCCAGATTTTTGTCACGAAATACAGTGGGAGTGAAGTTGAATTTTCACGCTGAAGATTGGCCATGCCCGGGAATTCGGTGAAGGTGCTAAGACGTGGACGTCCGTAGCAGAGAGACCGTGTGGCATGCCGATGCATGGGCTATCTGCTGACCCTAGACCTCTGGTCGTTCGAGGATGACCACTCCATCGGGATGCCAGCCGCCAGCCGCCAATTGTTGGTACTCCTCTGTTTGTGCTGGTTTTTGCTCGCTAGTAAAAGAAAACTGAGTACATGTATGTGCTTTGAAGTTAACGTAGAACAAGGACGGACGTGCAGTTGTTCTCGGTGAAATCCGACCCGAAGTGCATATTTGGCGCCCTGGGCTTGCACGGCCCTTGGCATCCTGGAGGTGGTACGAATGCTGCTGGACGTACACATGACATATACAAGTACAGTGATGTAATCGAAACTGGTCCAGGGCGTCAGTTTCGCACTTTGGGTCGGATTGCATTGAGCGCAACTGTATGTCTTGTGTCCTTGTTGCTGTGAAAAATTCGGTTTTCTTCTCTCATGTCTGTGTTTTGCGCTCAGGGCATTGTCAACGAAACGCTCGGCTTTTCGCAAGTTCCCCATTTCAGCACGGGAGGCAACGTGCACCTCATTGTCAACAATCAGCTGGGTTTCACCACGCCCAGCGATCGAGGACGGTGAGTTGTGCATGTACGAAAAGCATAGCATCTGCTGAGCTGATGTACAGTCAACTAAAAAGTCAATTCGAATGTTTTGCATTCACTGTAGCGAGTCCGAATACTCAGGCGTGCACACTGTGTACACAGTTCAAAATGGGAGATGTGCTCTGCCGTACGCAGTACACATCGATAGGGAAATCCTCTCGCAATGATCCTTGCCACCGTAGAGTGTCGGTTATCCACGCCCCCTCTGGGCATGGAGACGTCTCTAGGGGGCTCAGATAGGCATTTTGTTGGGATAAGGGAGCGGGCAAGCATCCATCTTCTATAATATGTACATCCCCTTGTGCTCAGAAGTGGTAGGAACTGAAAAAGGGGAAAAGTCTCTTGTTGTACTGCACACAAATTATGTACGAAATAACCAAATACGGATCAATTGACAGTTGAGTTCTTTCATTCAGTCTGTACACTCATACAATGTGCGTGCCAGTAATGGTACAAGTACTACAATCATGCATCTGTATTTTATACTAAGTTTATGGGACATTACCTGAGGCAAGCTAGCGCTCCTGTCATTATCGCTCTGCAGAATTCTTGGAGGGCCTTATGCATGAATGCACTTGAGGACCACTGCACATACATCCTTCGCCAACTTGGACTTGATGCCTGCACGCATTGCAAACCTAGAGTAGCAGTCCACGATGTTGCAGACATACTCAAAGCCACTTACCGACGGCAACTTCTTCAGGTCCATCTGCCATCGCGAGTTTTGGGTATGTGGCTAGGATTGAGTGGCGGACCAAGGACGTTTTTGGCAGAGGAGCCTGGTGTTCGCATGTCGTACACTTGACATGCTCCGTATACAGGGTGATAATGCTTTCCCGGACCACAGGGTAGTAGCGGCACTGCAGGGTGCCGTAACAAGTCTCAGCATGCCTGTGGTCCCGCTGGTGCTCCTCCTGCAACAACTCCACCAGCCTTTCTCGCGACACACGAAGGCGATGTCTTTCGTTTAGCTCTGTTTACTTGTAGAACAAGTCAAAAAGGTATGTGTCGCAATACCTTTGAATTTGTGGCTCCGTCACGTTCATGGATGTGTTGCTCTTGATAGGGTATTCAGTCACGTGACATGTGAGTTCTTATTCTTTGGATTTTGGCACCAAATTTTTTTATTCGAAAGCTCTAGGTTTCAGGAGGATCTTGGTGAAGTTTCAGCGAAAACAAGCAAAAGTGGCCGCGCAGTAGCCCGTTGAAGTTTTCACCCAATTCAGTCACGTGACATGTGAGCTCTTATTCTTTGGATTTTGGCACCAAATTTTTTTATTCGAAAGCTCTAGGTTTCAGGAGGATCTTGGTGAAGTTTCAGCGAAAACAAGCAAAAGTGGCCGCGCAGTAGCCCGTTGAAGTTTTCACCCATTCACACTATGTACGCACATATTTAGTATGCAGCCAATGGCACACACCAGCGTTTCTGCCATCCAAACCCAAAAAACAAAGTTGCTCAGATTGCTTATTTTTTCCGTGTGCATAGCACGAACACCGGACAAGTAAATGCTGTGAAGTCAATTTTCCATTTTTGCAACCAACTTTCAAATTTCTCCCTTAGCAACCACCATAGCAACCATACAAAATACAATGTGTCAGTGTTGCACATTGGTTACCTTGAAATGCTGCCCAATTTCGACTGTGCCGAAAGGAAAACACAAAGAAGATCACTGGAATTATGCAGCATTGCATGACAAGGCAAAGAGTTCATTGCTGGAGAGACAAACAGGCATGCGCCAGGATATCAAATGCAAACAAACCCACACTCATAACAGACATTACACGCTTTAGCGGATAAGAGAATGCTTAAATTAAATTTGAGAATTTTCAGAGCACATAAAAGAGATTTATAATAGATTTAAGCCGAAAAGCTCAGAGAAAGATACATCATGTGCGGATAATGGCTGAACGAGGACTCTTGCAGAGCGTATTCATCGTACAGTTCCGGTTCAATTGGATCGCTTTTATACATCAACAGCGCTCGCCACAGGTGAATCATCACTGCCAGGTTCGCTGCGCTGGCGAATCAGCTTCCTCAAATTGGACGCCAATGTTGTAACTGGGAGAGGATGGCCAGCAAAGCTCATAAAGAACAGCTCATTGGAAGCTTTCTGCTCCAGAACGAATTTCCGAAACTGGAGTTGTGAGCGCAATGCTGCTCTTCGACCAGTGATAGAGGAAATTGATGCAAGCTTTTCATCGATGTTCGTCTCCTGTGTCCACAGACCATGTGCCTCAATCTCCTTGGTCAACTGTTCTTTTCGTGCAGTGGTAGCTGATGCTTCTTTTCCTTCTATGGAGAGTATGGCCAGCAGAGCTCATAAAGAACAGCTCATTGGAAGCTTTCTGCTCCAGAACGAATTTCCGAAACTGGAGTTGTGAGCGCAATGCTTCTCTTCGACCAGTGATAGAGGAAATTGATGCAAGCTTTTCATCGATGTTCGTCTCCTGTGTCCACAAACCATGTGCCTCAATCTCCTTGGTCAACTGTTCTTTTCGTGCAGTGGTAGCTGATGCTTCTTTTCCTTCTCTGTCTGCTTTCTCTTGAGCTCTGCCAAGCAATGCTGTCAGATAGCGTGTGTTGTCTTGATTGCCGCTGAAATCTTCCTTTTCCCCCATTTGGGGTTTCTCACCTTTATTTGGCACGCCGTCGTTGTTTCGGCCATCACGCTCCGAAAGCGGTCAGCACCACGATCTTTGGTTTTAGGCAAGGCTCTGGCCGTTGTACCGATCCTAATACCCCCACATGCATGTCATCTGCCATTACGACCTCACCTACGGACAAAACAACTGCCACCTAAAAAAACACTATCTGCAATCTTGGTACTTCTTGAAGTAGTAGTTACCAGGGTGACAACGTTGCTCGCCACAAGAGGCCCCTTGAGTGCGTGTAGACGGTCGCTGTGATCACGCAAGTAATTTCATCGCTCAAGAACCAAGAACGGAGGAGAGCGACATGGAGTGAGGCTGAATGCTGCAAGCTCCGCTGGCATCAGCAGCTAGCATTACTCTGCGTAAAGCATCCACGTCGGCCGCAGCATCATGGGTGTTGAATTCTTCCTTCGCAAAATGCTGGAAGAGTGCATGCACAGTGTAGCTGGGCAGTGCAGGCACATGCTGCTTCAGCAATGGCAGACTGTCCACAACGCCTAGGCAGTGCTTCTGAAGCTTGTCGAGATGACGTCCGACCTCTACAGCCGTCAAGACGGTCTACAATCCAGCGTCTTTGCGTTGTGGAAGACGGGGCAGAACGGTGTATGTGTAGATTCCCAGTCCAGGAAGTTCAAGTGAATGCGTGTCATGGGGGGGGGGGGGGGGGGGGGCAATTAACAGTCAGACAGGAAAAAATCAAAATGCAGAACTGAGACAAAAAAAGAGAGACAAGTTATAATTTTAGATGGGGCAATATCAAGCACTGGAAGGACGTTGTAGAGGTACGCTTGTAGACAGTGGGCCGCAGTGTAGGAGCTTGTGCATGTGTGTGTGTGTGTGCATGCGTGTGCATGCGTGTGTGTGTGTGTGTGTGCGTGCGTGTGTTCGTGTGTTCACGTGCAACCATTCTCAGATCATCGGCGTACGCCAGCGACATTGGAAAGGCGATCGGCACGCCCGTCTTGCACGTGAACGGTGACGATCCCGAAGTAAGTGACTTAGCTACGGTCACATCTGCTCCTTCTCTTTAGTACGTCTTTCACACGACGAGAAAGTGTCGCGTCTTCTCGACCTCGCGTGAGGATCACCAAGGTGATCATCGATTGGTTTGAAATGTGAATCGCAGAACCGTAGCCCTGTCCGCGGCACACTGACCCCAGTTTGTGTGTTTTCGATTTCACGTTTCCTGTACTGATTTGCGTGCACTGTGCCGGCAGAGCTAGTCGTCGTGTGAAGTGTCATGCCGCGCATCGTAGAACCACGGGAGCGTGCAATCGTGAGCACCTACCGTTGTGTGAAAGGGCTATAAGCCTATAACGCATGTGGATGCACTGCATGCCACTCCTCCAGTTCATTGCATGTGGTTGTACTGATGTAGCTGCGCGAGTATGCTATTCCTGTTAGAAGCTCCTCTCTGATGTGTGTTTTTGATTTGTTTCTGGCAGTAGGATACTAGTGAAGTCACTGTAGTGTTATAGTTCAGCGTACCTTGCATGCCGGGCGAATTTTTGTTTGAGTTACTGACGTCTTCTGCGGCTGATCAAACGGCTGCTTGGCGTGCTGTTTGTTGTATTTTCAGGCCGTTGTCAGGGCGTGTGAGATTGCGTTGGCCTACCGGCAAGTGTGGCGCAAGGACGTCATCGTCGACATGCTCTGCTACCGACGCTGGTGAGTCTTCCTCCCTCTCTCTTTCTCTCTCTCCCTCTCTCTTTCTCTTTCTCCCTCTCTCTCATACATGCACACACGTGCACACAAAGAGCGCACATTCAAGGCATGATGCATGTGTGGCATAAAGCTACAGAGCTGCACACATATCTCCTCATCCCCTCCCCCTTCCCCCCCCCCCCCCCCTCTCCTAATGAGCAAACATATGGGCTTATCATTGCATGGAGGTTTTTGGAGAGCACATCGATATTAATTTATTTTTTAAACTCATTGATGAAACGAACTGCACCCCCTCCCTTGCAAAACCTGTTTAGAATATGATCTGTAGCTACGGACGAACTGTACGCACTACAAAGAACATGGGATTTCTTGCAAGAGTATTTAGTAGAGTATCTATTAGTGGTTGTCAGTGTTAAAAAGGAGAAGGACAAAATGTTACGGGTTATGACTAACTTTCCACCAATGTAACCAGATCTTATACAGTCTTTTTCACCAAAATTTAATTGGCTCACCATCCGAGTTCAAGATTGTCAGTGTGTTCATTTATTCATCCTTTTCCTGTATGGTCTATGCACCTTGCTGCTCTGGTTTTGACATACGCTGTTCACTGTCTTGTGTGTGGTTCAATCACCTCTCCAGGGGCCACAATGAGATGGACGAGCCCATGTTCACACAGCCGCTGATGTACGAGAACATCAACCAGCGCACCAGCGTTCCCGATGCCTACGTCGAGAAGCTCAAGGTATGTGCTCGGCGTGTCCGGGGTTAGTCCTTCAGCAAAGACTCGATCGGGGCGTGCGTGTGTGTGGTAGTGTCCACCCAGCCCAGCAAGGCACACGGTTTAAAAAAAGTCTGATTCAATAACCACCTATGGAACGGTATGCCCAATTGCGATCATTGAACACAGTTGATCTTTGAAGCCAGGGCGATCCTTGCGCATTCAACCAGCCGGTCGCTTGACCGGGCTTTGTGCCAAGTATAGGAGAGGAAAGTGTCTGCTGGAAGAGTGCAAGATCAGGTCTTTTAAAATGATCCAGTAGGGGGAGGGGAGGGGAGGGGAGAAAAGGGGAGGGATGGGCAGACAGGGAGGGAGGGAGGGAGGGATGGGCAGACAGGGAGGGAGGGAGGGAGGGATGGGGAGACAGGGAGGGAGAGTAATTTACTTGTACATTTATATTATAAAGACAGGTAAGTCTAACAAATGAGGACTGAGACCTCTACAACAGGGTTTTTACGCCTGAAAGCAGGTGCATGATTTAACAAGCAGGTTGTCAGTCTAGATTTTAAGCGCAGATGGAGAAAAATGCGCAGAATTTTTGCAATGAGGTGAAAAGCAGAATTAATAAGAAAGAATAAGAAAAGAATAAATGAAAGCCTGCTCACAACCCCGCCCAGCCTTGCGAACTGGGAATCCGTTGCCCCGGCTCAACGGCTGTGACGAATGTGCTCGCGAACTTTCACCTTGAAGCTTTGGGCAGATTTAGGCTGAAGAGAAGCCGAGAGAAGCCATTGTGGCAACTCGTTCCATTCCTCGATGATGGTGTAGGGGAAGGAGCGGCGAAGGATGTTGGGAGAGATACATGTAGCTGGAGGCAAGCTGCAGAGCTGGTGTTGGTACACTGTGGTGCAGTTTGCCACTAGATGTTCTTGTCTGGCTCATCATCATAATCTCCTGCGAGTACCCTGGTGGCCGTTATGATGCACGTGGAGAACGTGTTGCTCGTTGCTACTATGCGTGTTGGATGGGGAGACGGTTTCGAAACGGTATCGGATCCGATTTGATAGAAGGAAGAAGATTATACACGTAGATTCTTTCACACATTATCGGACCTAATCTTGGAACTGTTGTGGCCACATACAATGTTTTGCTGATGCCAATGAAGGATGAATCCAGCAATGGGCTGACACCGTAGTTCTTTCGCCGGGTTTCGGTCTGAAAGTTTCAAACCTGACCCCAGAGGCAGCATAATTATACGTCCTCACAAACTTTGAATTTACCGTACCGTATGCTACCCTGTACCGTCCTGTGCAGTGTAAGTGCATCAACCACGCAACAATTCGAAACCCAAACCGGCATGTCATGAATGTGTAGCTGAATAAAGTTTCCTGCTGCTGAGAAATATTGCGGGGAATATTTCTCCACTCTCGACTTGAAAGCCACTTGAAACTAGTCGTGCGACCGTGAATGAGGTCAGTGTGACTCTGCAGCGACCAGAACCACTTACTTGGAGAGTACATCGATGTTTTTCAACTGGTTGTACTTGTGTTAGCTGCTCTGGCTAAACCGTCCCCATGGCACTCTCAGAGGACAGGTTTTATGACAGGAAGTATTATTACAGAAGTGTAGAATGAAGTACTTCACTATAATGCAAGGATACTGAACACCTCACCACAGCTACCTCCGCTCAAGATGCGGTTCAGTTTATCTTTCACAGACTGGCTCTCTAACAATCGCTGACTCATAGCTTCCACAGTACCTTGCTTGTACACAGCGAGTACTGTAGGCAATCTCTCCTGTGTGCTCTTCAGCATTTCAATAACGAGAGAATAATGCAATGAGTAATGAAATGGATGTCCGGCACGGTAACACCAGCCATCTTCAAGGATGCCGCATATTTTGGGAGCTTTACTTGTTTTGGGCTGGAAAGACGACTGTGTTGGCTCGTAACTCTGCAGCTGAACACCCCTTCCAGGTGTTAGCCTCCACTTCCTGGTCAGCACCGGATACCTCTCCCACGACTTCCATTGCGTGTGAGTGGTCGGCGGCCACTTACGATAAAGGAATGCGAGAGCTCTAAAGTTTGCTTCCGTACGCAACTGCACTCAAGTAAAGAGCTTGTGATTATCGTGACAAGGATTTGATGATCATGCATATCATGTGAAACCTTTGAACATGTTAAAAAAATTAGTCTCTGAATTCAGTGATCCCTTTATAATCCGCCACAATTTGTGCTACGGGCTGAATTCTGCTGGATGATGGAGGGTGCTGGATTAGAACTGTATGCTACTCTAGTTGGCTAAAACCCTGTGTACAATGTTGTTAATGTTGTTGTTGTTGTTCTTGTTGTTGTTCTTGTTCTTGTCGTCGTTGTTGTGTGTTCACAGGAAAATGCAGCATCAGTGGATGTTGGCAAGCTGAGCTCTGTCGGTACGGATCACTTTGCCTGGTTGGACCAGCAACAATCCTCACTCTCTGACTACAAAGTAGATGTACGTATGCTATGCACACCAATTGTATGGAGAAACAGCATATGCATGTAGCTTGTGCGTGTGTGCGTGCGTGAGCCATGTCTCTTTGTCGGGCATGTACGGCACAATCTAGATTGCTGTATGTCTGTATAATTATAATGTTGTATGTGTATGTGTGTGCATGTGCATGTGTATGTTAGAACTTACATGTAGAAGTGGTGACTTTGGCGGTTATATTTAATGAAGTTCCTACTCAATCCCCCCCCCCCCCCCCCAGTTCCTATGTACCTGTTAAGCTCGGGCTTCCTGCAAAAGTTCTTGACACTTGACTGACTCGCGACTGCCATGCAGGAGCATGTCGAATCTTCTGCTCGGCAAATCTGCAAGAAAGCACCGCTCCCTGCTCGAGCCACAACGCCCCTTGGAACTCACCCCTCCTCGAGTTGACCTTGAGTAGGCTAGTGGCTAATACCATAGGCTTTTGTGCTGTTTTAGTCCATCGTCCTTGTTCATTTGATTTTGCCTGTATTTCACCTGACGATAAGGCTCAGAAGTATACTAGTGAAACTGAAAACTTTCAAGATGTTCTTAATTAAAGAGCCTGAAGCGTGTCCCTTTTCTGAGTATTATTGCCATAGGCTAAGTTCAAAATTCCTAGATCATGTCAAAATGTACTGGCCGCTCTTTAAATACTTAGAAGCATTGTGTGATGTGTTGTTGTGCAGGATAAGATCTGTTGCTATCCGTGGAAGGATGCCGGCCTTGTGCAGCCACAGTCCGCCAGCATCACGTCCTGGGATACTGGTGGGCACTGCATTCTCATGCTGCATGTCTATACTGCGTGTCTATACCGCATGTCCACACTACATGTCCACACTACATGTCCATACTGCATGTATGCTGCATGTCTGTAGAATCTACTGCAGGGCTGTACTCTATGCATGCGCGAATGCAGTCAATGCATATTCAATGTTGCTGGCTACCAGTAGCAGCTGTATGCAGCTTCCGTTGAGAGGCAACTAGTCTATGGTGCATACTCTGCGACTCGTATTGATTGTAGCTGATCATCTGCATCATCATCTGGACACTGGACGTCCCCCTTTCTAGCCCAACGTATCCTGTGCAATGTGTTTGTTGCCTATCGTGTACAGGCTGTCCAGCTGACTTTCTTCAGTTCATTGCTGCTAAATCAGTGCAACTACCTGATGGGTTGGTAAGGGAGAGACCACTGTGTGTCTGTGTCTTTGCCTTGCGCGTGTTCTGTATTCTGTCTTGTTCAGCGTTCTGTGCTTTTCGTGTGGGTACGTGTGTGTGTGTGTGTGGGGGGGGGGGGGGTATGTGTGTATGTGTATGTGTGTGTGTTGCTTATCTTAGTGATCGGGCATTTCTCGCAAAGGATAATGTTTTGGGGTGCAAGTTCCAATGCGAGCTATCCCCAAACCTTCATGTCTTTGTGCACATGTACAAGCTGCATGCTTCAGCACATGCACAATGCTTGTAGTTTGGAGAATAATGGCTGCCATTGCCTCCATTCTCCAATGCTCACAGGATGTTCATCAACGTCTTCAGCGTGCACATGTAGATGCTCGGCTAGCGCAAGTGGCGGACGCATCCACTTCCAAGGTTGACTGGGCAACAGCTGAATGCATGGCCATGGGATCACTACTGCTGCAAGGTAGAGGAGAGTTGTGTGTTGTACAATACATGCACTGTGCAGCAACAGCAACAGCAAGTGTTGCTGCTGTGGCTGCTGCTGCTGCTGCTGTGGCGGCTGGCACACACAGTACAGTCCAGTACAGTAGGCCGGCCAAGTAGGGACATTTGGATGAGTGAACAGCGTGTTGTCCGTGCTTTTTTGTTGTTGTCGAATGGGTAGTTCTTGTGTCAGGGTGCCGCTACTCAAGATTCTGTCAGGTTGTCCAATGTGGAATAAACTTTGAGGGGCTAGCACTGGTTTGTGAGCGAGCGAGTGAGTGGTGGTTGCGCGCCAGTGAGCGAGCGAGTGAGTGTGTGCGTTAGTCAGTTTGTGCATGAGGAAGTGAGTGAGTGAGTGAGCGAGCCGAAAAAGAAGGGAGTAAGTGTGTGTGTGTGTGTGTGTGTGTGTGTGTGTGTGTGTGTGTGTGTGTGTGTGTGTGTGTGTGTGTGTGTGTGTGTGTGTGTGTGTGACACGAATGTTGACATGACCGTGTGTGTGTGTATGTATGTGTGTGTGTGTGTATGTGTGTGTGTGCATGTGTGTGTGCGTGCGTGTGTGTATGCGTGTGCTATTCTCTAGGCATGCCTGTACGCATATGCGGACAAGACGTGGGCCGTGGCACTTTCAGCCATCGCCATGCCATGTTAGTGGACCAGACATCCGACCAGCTCCACATCCCACTCAATCATATGACGGCAGACCAGCCAGCTTTCTTGGAGGTGAGGAGGCTTTGTCTGCCCTTTCCCTTTTCACCCTTCTTTCCCTATAGTGGGCGATTCATCGCCCTCTCTCCATTTCATTGGATGATTATATCCACTCAAAAAAATATTGTGTGACAAGGGACTTCGAACATACCGTGTCGCCTCACTGTCAGAATTAGGAGAGCCAGAGGGAACCTTAGAGCGTTGGAACAAACAATCTAAATTGGGGTTCAGTCTGCCTAAATACAGCTTCCTTTTATTTTTTATTTATTTCACTCAACTCGTCGTCCATGACCAATTGGCACGCAAAGTGCGAGAGAGGGGTAATAGCCAACCACGGCAAGAAAAGAAAAGAAATGGAATAAAGGAAAAGAGAAGAAAGAAGGATAGACAAGCAGCCAGCAAGGAGAGATTCTATTGTACTGCATTAGGCGATCGGGGAGCATTTTTAAAGCTGGGAAGACATTTTGATATCTTGACTTGCTGAGGAAGTTACAGCCAAAAGGTGTAGGATAAAAACAGAGGAGAGTTGGTAAATGTGGCTGACTTCGCACGAGGAAGTGAGAGACTATTACGAGTGGACCGGGACAGAGAAAACCAATTGAATATGGAAAGCTGATTGGGAATTTTACCTAGGCGAATTCTGTTAAACAAAATTTTAAGAAGAGATTTATGTTGGATTTCAAGTTTGTTCACAAGATGCTGACTTAGACTACACCAAGGCTGACATACATACTGGAAATAGGATACGAGCGCTATGACATAAAACATAGAACGGCATGTATTTGGCAGATGAGAATGGTGAGGATATAGTATGCTGAGAACACGACTAGTTTTCTTGCAAATATAGTCTACATGGGGAGCCCAGAAGAATATCACTTTGGTCTTACTAGTGTTTGGCCTCACCTTCCACGTCGACAGCCAGGAAATGGTGGAGTTGATCTTTTTTCTGGAGGTCATCAACTAGCAATTGCCTGCAACTACTTGAAGCAAAAACTGTGGTGTCATCGGCGAACAGTGAAACATTAGGGACAGACATCGATAGATCATTGACGTGAACTAAAAAGAATAGTGGCCCCAGGATTGACCCCTGTGGCACACCAGAATTATTGGGCTGAGGAAACGAGATGGTGTTGCCGATGCGTACAGCCTGTAACCTGCCAGTTAAGTAGCTTTCAAAGAAACAAAGCAGTTTGCCACCAATGCCATAGGCAGCCAACTGGGCAACCAGGCCTCGATGCCAAACGGTGTCAAAGGCTTTCGCCAGGTCAAAGAAGCACATGCCAGTATGTTCTTTCAAATGTCGGGACTGCATGGTGTTTTGGATTAGGTGGATTAGGTGCAAAGCTGTGGAGTCTCCTCGCCGGAAACCAGGCTGCATTGTATGCAAGTACGGGGACAAGTGTCGATATAGCTGATCGTACACAATGCGCTCAAACAGCTTTGAAATACAGCAGAGCAAAGAGATGGGTCTGTAATTTGTTGCGTCCGACCGGCAGCCTTTGCGCTTATAAATTGGGACCACCAATGCGTATTTCCAAGCGAAGGGAAAGATTCCAGACGACAGAGAGATGTTAAAGAGCAGCGATAACGGATATGCCAAGGTTCGGCACGGCAACTTGGATGTTATCTTGAATACAGCCGGCTGACTCGAAACATGAACCACCATGAAGTTGACAGGATGAGGTCGTTCTTCGCTAAGCGACATTGAATTTTGCCTGCACGCAAGCAGAACTTGCTGGCAACGAGAAACCTGACGTAGGTCAGCTTGCGTGGGTCCCTCGTGGAAAGAATGTCATCAAAGAACTCATCAGGCTTCTGCCAGTCGGGGTCGTTGACTCGTTGATGCGTGGCTTGTGCTTGACGGATGATGCCTCCCCCTGGCGCTTCTTCTCCTTCAGCGGCCCGTCAAGAAGCCTATTGCAGTGTTGAAACTCCGGTGACGAGTACAAGTTGACATCAGTCCGGATGTTGCCCAAATGTCGATGAATCCCCGCTCTGGCTGCCCAGTAGCTGTTTCTAGTGTACTTGGTACCGTCATCTTTCCGTGCGTCGCCATAAAAGCCTTCAACAAGGCCAGCGAGGTCAGCTCTTGAAGCAGTTTTCTGTTCGAGGAGACTTTTCTTTCCAGCATTGTACTGTTCAAATGCACGCGTCCAAAAATCGGTGGCAATAACGGTGTTTTCTGGCGTCTATGAACTATTGTCGCTCCTCAGCAGTTGAAATTGCGAAAACCATCGTTCTCTTCGGCGCATATTCCGCAGAGGTCTGATCGTCGCACGTCGCCATTGTTGCTCGATGCAGAAGAAAGGATGAAGAAAGAGAGCATGCGCAGTTTGTAGAAACTGCAGCGATGTCACTCATACACATGACTGTAGTGATGGCATGAAGTGGAGCAGCAGAGCAAACAATTTTATGCTATTTCT